GCGTAAAACCATACTCACTCACTCACTTAATTAAGTTGAGTTTATCATTAAACATATAATATGTGTATTGATGTTGAAGCATCTTCGACTTAACTTGTCAGTGTTTTTATAACAGTCATTCTTAATTCTAGGGTCGTTCGAATCCCGACATGGGTGATATTGCTGGAATATTGCTAAAAGCGGCGTAAAACCATACTCACTCACTCACTAATTCTAGGGTCACGTTTCAGGTTTTATTGACAAGTGGTGGTATTTCTGGAAACGCTTGTGTCACGTGTTGAAAGGCAGATGTCACGTGACTATAACTGACAAGTTGACGTTAAGCAGGAATGGGAAACATTCTTTGAAATTTAAATTTGATAAATGATACTGCGCTGTCAAAGCGCCTCTTGAGTGTCAAAAAAGGGATGTTTGAGCACCTGAGGGTTTTTGATCTCGTGAAATAGTTGGAGTTATATAGGTTTGTACTTTAAGCTGTGGGAGTAGCCAATAAGAAGAAAAGCGACAAAACCATGTGCATACTCAAACAAAGAAAAACACGTTAATGTTGGACTAGTAAAACAAGCCAGCATTGTTTTACATCTGGGCGTATGGGTTACTGTGAGTGACAGGTGTGTAATTGCATTGTCATCAAAGGATTCATGACTTCTGTAAGAAAAAAAAGTGAGGTTGATTTGGTTTTCGGAGCAATTTGTTCTCCCAAATGTCACGTGATAGACATACACATCAGTGAACGTTACATCTTATTATCGTAGCTAAACCAATTTGATAACTGGAACCAGTACTACAACAATCTGAAAAAGGTGAACAAGAGCATTGCATTTGATTAACTAAGAGAGTCAGTTTAGAGGTGAGGTGAGGTGGAATGGGGTTTAACGGCGCGCCCAAGATTATTGCGTGTGTGTGGCTGCTTGAACTAGTCCGGACTGACGACGATTTATAGTGAAAGTCCACTGAGATACCATGCCGCAGTTTAACATGAGTACCCCACTCAGACACAGTATACGGACTCCAAGCCGACCAATCCTTGTTTTAGCCCCTTAATGCCGAGCGTCAGATAGGGTAACAACACGTACCATCTTATAACGTCTTTGGTATGACGCCGCTGGGGATCGAACCTCGGACCTTCCGCTCTCCGGGCGGACGCTCTACCACTAGACCACGGAGGCGGTCGAGTCAGTTTAGAAAATAATGAAACTGTTTTATCAACAATTACCATGGTCAAAATTGAAAGAGACACAAACACAAACTACTACGAAAGTCTACAAGTATCAGCAACTGCACTGCATTTAATTAACTGAGGAATTCAGTTTGTCAAATAAATAAAGGTGTTTTAACCCTCAAATACCAACAATAAATACAGGGTCAACTGAGTTTGGTCAAATTTGAGAAATATTAACAATGACTGTTTCCAATCTTTAATATTTTCGGGAAAATATTTCTTCAACCACAATGACCTTGAAAAAGTCAACATTATGATTGTATTTAATATCATGGAGTTGATTTACGAACAATTGTCAACAATAACTACGACCCGTGAAGATGCGGGATAGAATAGGTCTTCAGCAACCCATGCTTGCCATAAACGGCGACAATGCTTGTCGTAGGAGGCGACTAACGGGATCTGGTGGTCGGGCTCGTTGACTTGGTTGATGTATGTCATCGATCCCATTGTTTGGATCGATGCTCATGATGTCAGTCACTGGATTGTCTGGTTCAGACTCGATTATTTCCAGACCACCGTCATATAGCTGGAATATTGCTGAGTGCGGCGTTAACCAACCAACCAACAAACAAACAAGAATAACTACAGTTGGTTTTTATTTTCAGTTACAGAAAGAACCCAACAAGGATGAACAGTTGCGAATGCTGCACCACCTGGCCTCCGGGTTTTTCAATGTTCAGAAACAGACGCATAAGAAGACAGAATTCGCATCATCCAACGTAAAGAGCTACACTGGGTTCCCTCATGCATTACTTAAATCTTTCGATAAGGACCTGAAAAATAAACTTCAGCGCCAATCTAAATCTAAGGACAGTGGGCAGACCCAACAGACACCGTCAGAAGCACACTACTCGGACTATTTACATGTACTGAGTCAAATGTACTTCAGTAACTTTGCGTACCCAGCTGATAGTGTCCTGGCAATGAACAGTGGCCAGACTACTCACAGTCCTGGAACCGGCGTCCATCGTGTGTCTCAAATGCTGTCCAACTCGCCCGTACCTATCAATAGTATTCATACAACAAATCAGCTTCAGCCTTCACATCATACTGACATCCAGCCCTCCTCAACAATTGTCCCTTTTCCCCACCCTTTGTCAGAGAGCGAGTTCCTGCAGACGGACACTCTTCCCTATGTTTCAGATGGCAATGGTGATAGTTCCTCCGTGTCTAGGGGGGAGCATACACCAATGATCAATACCACTCACTCATCATACGATGCGGTTGTGCACAATACAAGAACTGTAAGCGTGGGGAATGCAGAGGACACCTTGGTGAATATTTCAGATCCATCACATTTGTTCATCGAGCCTACTAAAACAGAGACTTACATGGTACAGACCTTTGTGACTAAGTCTTCAGATGTGGATCCATTCTCAGAATCTCACGACAGTTCTGTACTCCCCGTGACTGATACTCATCTCCACACGCCAAGAATGCATCAAAGTGCCTCTGTCAGTCAACCTGTTGATGCACTTCCCGACAAACGTATGTCCAGAAATGTCACCGCAGCTGGTGATGTGGAGGGAACGTCAGTTATGCTTCAATCAAACGTAGACGTGAGCGGTACATTAACATTAGCATCTATCTCCAGGATGCCATCCGACCCAGTGACTGTTTCAAAGGGAGTATCGTCACCGGGCCCTGAACTCTCAGTGTCTGATGCTATAAAGCATGAAGCCACTCCTATAGTAATGGAGACTACGAGCACTTCAGATGTCCGGCTCATCATGCCTTCTTCAACTGTAATAGTTCTCCAGGCACCACTCCCATCCACGGTGGTGCAGTTCCCAAGTGCAGATTGTCCTCTAAGCAGGCTGAAACACCACGAATCACAACATAGCGATAAATATGAAACAAGAAAGTTAGAACATCTTTACAACATCAACAAGAATGCTGAAACTACAAACCATAGTGGAGCCAGGCACAGGAAAACCCCGCATTATCAAGTCACACCAACAAAAATGAAAGGACCGAGACGGGGGCATGACGCCTTTGAACAACTAGATTTTCACATTACGTCAGGTCTGAGTGTGAAAATGCCACCTTCAAAGGAATCAAACAACAAGGGTGTCTCAGTTTTAACATCTCAACATCTGAACATTGGGCAGAAGCAACAACTGTATCATCGGCAACATATTCAGTTATGGCACCATGAATACCAGCACAAAAGTCAGCTTCAGCACCTGCAGTCGAAAGAAGGGCAACATATGAAACAGTATAAACATCAGAATCAGCATCATCTTCAGAATCAGCATCATCTTCAGAATCAACGTCAACGTCAGGATCAGCCTCAACGTCAGGATCAGCCTCAACCTCAGAATCAGCACCAACCTCAGAATCAGAAGCAACGTCAGGATCAGAAGCCACGTCAACGTCAGGATCAGAAACAACATCAAAGTCAACGTCAACGTCAGGATCAGAATCAACGCCATGATCAGATAAAAACACAGAATCAGCATCAACATCAGAATCAGCGTCAACCTCAGAATCAACGTCAACGTCAGGATCAGGAACAACCTCAGAATCAACATCAGCATCAGAATCAACGTCAACGTCAGCATCAGAATCAACATCAACGACAGGATCAACACCAACCTCAGTATCAGCATCAACGACAGGATCAACACAAACCTCAGAATCAACATCGACTGCAGAATCAGCATCAACGAAAGGACCAACATCAACGACAGGATCAACATCAACCACCAAATCCCCATCAGCAACAGAATCTACACCAACCTAAGAATCAGCATCAACTGCAGAATCAGCATCAAAGACAGGATCAACACCAACCTCAGAATCAACATCAACTGCAGAATCAGCATCAACGACAGGACCAACATCAACGACAGGATCAACATCAACCGCAGAATCAGCACCAGCCACAAAATCCCCATCAACTACTGAATCAACATCAACCTCAGAATCAACATCAACCGCAGAATCAGCATCAAAGACAGGATCAACACCAACCTCAAAATCAACATCAACCGCAGAATCAGCAAGAGCCACAAAATCCCCATCAACTACTGAATCAACATCAACCTCAGAATCAACATCAACCGCAGAATCAGCATCAAAGACAAGATCAACACCAACCTCAAAATCAACATCAACTGCAGAATCAGCATCAACGACAGGACCAACATCAACGACAGGATCAACATCAACCGCAGAATAAGCATCAACGACAGGACAAACATCAACGACAGGATCAACATCAACCGCAGAATCAGCACCAGCCACAAAATCCCCATCAACTACAGGATCAACACCAACCTCAGAAACAACATCAACCGCTGAAACAGCATCAAAGACAGGATCAACACCAACCTCAGAATCAACATAAACTGCAGAATCAGCATCAACTGCAGAATCAGCATCAAAGACAGGACCAACATCAACGACAGGATCAACATCAACCGCAGAATCAGCACCAGCCACAAAATCCCCATCAACTACAGGATCAACACCAACCTCAGAAACAACATCAACCGCTGAAACAGCATCAACGACAGGATCAACATCAACCGTCAAATCCCAATCAGCAACAGGATCAACACCAACCTCAACATCAACCGCAGAATCAGCATCAACGACAGGATCAACATCAACCACAGGATCAACATCAACCACAAAATCCCCATCAACTACAGGATCAACACCAACCTCAGAAACAACATCAACCGCTGAAACAGCATCAACGACAGGATCAACATCAACCACCAAATCCCCATCAGCAACAGGATCAACACCAACCTCAGAATAAGCATCAACTGCAGAATCAGCATCAACGACAGGATCAACATCAACCGCAGAATAAGCATCAACGACAGGACCAACATCAACGACAGGATCAACATCAACCGCAGAATCAGCATCAACGACAGGATCAACATCAACGACAGAATCAACATCAACCACCAAATCCCCATCAGCAACAGGATCAACACCAACCTCAGAATAAGCATCAACGACAGGACCAACATCAACGACAGGATCAACATCAACCGCAGAATCAGCATCAACGACAGGATCAACATCAACGACAGAATCAACATCAACCACCAAATCCCCATCAGCAACAGGATCAACACCAACCTCAGAATAAGCATCAACGACAGGACCAACATCAACGACAGCATCAACATCAACCGCAGAATCAGCACCAGCCACAAAATCCCCATCAACTACAGGATCAACACCAGCCACAAAATCCCCATCAACTACAGGATCAACACCAACCTCAGAAACAACATCAACCGCTGAAACAGCATCAACGACAGGATCAACATCAACCGTCAAATCCCCATCAGCAACAGGATCAACACCAACCTCAACATCAACCGCAGAATCAGCATCAACGACAGGATCAACATCAACCACAGGATCAACATCAACCACAAAATCCCCATCAACTACAGGATCAACACCAACCTCAGAAACAACATCAACCGCTGAAACAGCATCAACGAGAGGATCAACATCAACCGTCAAATCCCAATCAGCAACAGGATCAATACCAACCTCAACATCAACCGCTGAAACAGCATCATCGACAGGATCAACATCAACCGTCAAATCCCAATCAGCAACAGGATCAACACCAACCTGAACATCAACCGCAGAATCAGCATCAACGACAGGATCAACATCAACGACAGGATCAACATCAACCCCCAAATCCCCATCAGCAACAGGATCAACACCAACCTCAGAATAAGCATCAAATGCAGAATCAGCTTCAACGACAGGATCAACATCAACAACAGGATCAACATCAACCGCAGAATCAGCACCAGCCACAAAATCCCCATCAACTACAGGATCAACACCAACCTCAGAATCAGCATCAACCGCAGAATCAGCATCAACGACAGGATCAACACCAACCTCAGAATCAACATCAACTGCAGAATCAGCATCAACGACAGGACCAACACCAACGACAGGATCAACATCAACCGCAGAATCAGCATCAACGACAGGATCAACATCAACGACAGGATCAACATCAACCACCAAATCCCCATCAGCAACAGGATCAACACCAACCTCAGAATCAGCATCAACTGCAGAATCAGCATCAACGACAGGACCAACATCAACGACAGGATCAACATCAACCGCAGAATCAGCACCAGCCACAAAATCCCCATCAACGACAGGATCAACACCAACCTCAGAATCAACATCAACTGCAGAATAAGCATCAACCACAAAATCCCCATCAGCGACAGGATCAACACCAACCTCAGCATCAGTACAAACATCAGATTCAACAGCAATATCACAACCAGCATGCCATTCAACATGAACACAAACAAAAGCGCCAAATACATGGTCTGACAAGGCAACAGCTTTTACGTCTGAGGAGAAACATTGAGTCTCAGAAGCAGATGCAACAAAGACTACGTTCATCCAGGGCCAAACTCCGTAAAGCTAATAACAGCACACCAGGCGGAGGTAACTTGAACCAGGTAGCTCGACCAAAGTCCAGTCAACATAATCCTAGTCTGCCTTCACCATCTCACAGACAATTCCAAGGTGTGTTACAGAATGGACACAATGGAAATAAAAAGGAAACAATTCAAGACTTATCAAGAAATAAACAAGATCACTATAGTAGCCAGAGAAGGAAATTGGCTTTTGTGAACAACAATATGAATAGGTTTCAAGCTCATCAACAAACGACGAACATAAGACACCTCTTACCAACATCCAAACAGGATAAACGAAGGCTGCAACTACTCCACATGAGACTTGGAGGGCAATCATCAGGATGGACGGACTCTAATAACAACAGAAAACAACAGTTGATGTTACTTCGTCAATTGAAAGACAAGATGGACTCATCATTGGAACCTGTACAAGAACAGCAGGTAGAAAAGGGCCAAGACAGTGCACATCAGAAGCGTACCCAGGCGAGTGATCCAGGTACTAAGGTTGGACTTTCATCAGGTTTTGTACCTAGGAAAAGGGTGGTAAATACGCCCAGCATTTCGAAGCCTGGAGTTAATGCAGGAAACATTACACTGCAAGCACCCAAAACGTCTAGCAAGTTCAGACCAGTTGTAAGGAATAACGTTTCTATTATGCAGCTTAGGAGACAACTAGGTCTAACTACAAGAAACGTCAAAGCAAGGATTACCAATCCAATCCATCCTGGACTAGGTAGCTCTACAAAGCTTCTTCAAAATAGGACTGCCAGACAAAGAGGTGTTGGGAAAATGCCTGCTTCAGATGCTCAAGCAAATGGTTCAACTTTAAACAAATTGGGGAGAGTAGCACAGCACAGTGTCAAAGAGGGCCATAGCTTAGGAACAGTTTCCACAAGTTTAGATCAGATGAAGGTGAATGATTTGAATGCCATAATGAAGGAGGACAATTCAAGTATTTCAAGAGTTCCATCAGGTCAACCAAGTTTGTCAAGACAAATGCTAAACAATTTAAAAGGAAATGTTGGACACAGTGTTCAACGCCAACATGGTTTGTTTAACACACCTGGACAATATTTAGGAATGAGGATTGAAAACAGAAATAATTCAGCTAATACATGGTCCCTTAGGAGTAATAGGAAAACTATCCAAAATAGAACAAATTCACAATTGTCAGACCAAATAAAGGCAACCTTACCTAGAGCACGTAGCAACAATAGAGTTATGCCATCTGAAGCAAAACCCAATGTACGTGATAAAACGTCACTCAAAATAAATATGGAGAAATATGCCAATGTTTCAACAGCTCCTCCAAGTCGACCAAGTCCACCAAGGCGTCAGATGACACTTTTTGCAAATAACTTGCCAACAGCTGAGCCCCAGGGCCTCTCCTTGAACCTATCTACCAAAGGAAGAGGGATCAGAAACGAACATACACATTTCCGTTCGGGTTCTCATCACAGTATTATGAATACAATTCCTCAGATAATAGGACCACAAGCATCAGTCCCAGCGAAGAAGACCTTCCCTAGAACAAGCAACAACAGTGGGATGCCAACAGGCAGGATCAGGTCTAATGAAAGAGCCGATCCAAAACAGGAACGCACTTCCGATGTTTCAGAAGTGCTGTTTAGTCAACCGAGTGTACCAAGAAATCACATGGCAAACCAGTTGAGAAACAATAGCTTGCAGACTTCTGGACATGAAGACACATCTTTTGCTATATCTGTGCAATCTTTGTCAAGGGAGAATGGAGACATTCAGCAGATACCAAGAACACAATCTTCTATCCAGGGGAAGCAGGCAGGTCCCACAATATCAGGCACAGTGAATGAGATGAACCAAAACAATGCTACTGTTTCACAAGTTCCTTCAAGACAGTCAAGTCTATCAATAAGTCAAATGTCAGACACCTTCAGAAACACTAGAGGGTATGCTACTCAGCATCATAGAAGTTCTTTGAACATTCCAGTGCAATCTGTGAGAAGAAGGAATGAAAACACAAATCAACCTGCAATGATAGGGTCTGGTCATAGCACTTGGGATAACATGCAATGGAGAACAAGACAACAGTCCTCCAATCCAGCACATAAGCCATCACATAATAGGAAACAATTCATTCCATCCAACAGGAGATCTGAAGAGTTGAGTCATCAGCACCATATTCAACTGATGAATGATAAATTTTCGCAAAGAACATCCCAGTCAACCAGACAAAAGAGTGATACTTCTTTCGTGATAGATCATTTTCAAAATCCTATAAACCAACCTGTGCGTTCTGATATCAATGGAAGAAACACAAATTTGAATAAAAATCACTTGCAGAGTACCATTGAACGAGCTTTGCAGAGTACCAGTGAACGAGCTCCACAAAGTGCACCTTTCACTGTTGGAGTTGGGGTACCATTAACAAATATTCATGGCATAAATAACTTAGGGCCCAACAAGGCACCAGTAAGAATACCAATTATAGCAGGAAGAATTGGCTCATCTTTTAATGGCCGGGTGACATCAGGAGGCTTCAACTGGAACCAACAAGGCAGCAGTGCGGCAGTGCCACATTCTACAAGTGGAGCACCTGTAAGTCACACTCAGGGCATAGTTGAGTCATCTAACCATCAGGATGTTTCCGTTAAACCACCCAGAATAGTACAAGGAAATGTCACTGAACACTCATCCAGAAATCAAGAAATAACCAGCCAAGTACCAGGGAAAGGAATGTATCAAAATACCGAAACAGGTGAAGCGATCCTCAACAAGCCTATACCTAACAGATCACAAGAAACGTTACAAACAATTTTGTCAAATTCTTCAAATAACCAAAATGATGTGGATGTGGCAACCTCATTCACATCTACATATCGCATGAATCAATCCGACAGTAGATCTGTGTCTAGACGAATTGAACCAAACACGAATAGAACCATTGATCACCGGAAATCGCCCATGCTTGATTCGGTGGATGGTGGCCTTGCTACTACACATGTATTTAGGGGAGCTGAACGAGCCTCAAATAGAACCACGCCCATGACTGAGTGGAAGGATGCCACCCATGCTTCATCTTTCAACAAGCCTGATGTAGGGAGAGGTAATACCGATATTCCTAAAAACGGGCATGTATCTATCGCACGTCAAGCTGCTCACAGCAATACAACCAAGACTCCCCAGACACCAAGAATGCTCTCTGAAATCAAAAATAAGGTGGAGCTTTTGAGGAAACTAAGACAAATGCTTTTTAATAATGCAACAACCAAAACAGAGATGTCTTATGTTGCCATTAATCCTACAACTACTACGACCTCTACAACTACAACTACGACGATGACCAAGACACCTAGTACAACCACAACCACTACCCCTACGACCACAACAACTACAACTACTACCAAGCCACCTAGTACAACCAGATCCACTACCCCTACGACCGCTACAACTACAACTACGACCAAGCCACCTAGTACAACCACATCCACTACCCCAACGACCGCTACAACTACAACTACGACCAAGCCACGTAGTACAACCACAACCACTACCCCTACGACCGCTACAACTACGACAAAGATTCCCCAGACACCAAGAATGCTCTCTGAATTTCAGCCTTCTCTGTTGGGAAACAAAAATAGGGCAGAGCTGTTGAGGAAACTAAGACAGATGCTTTTTAATAATGCAACAACCAAAACAGAGATGTCTTATGTTGCCATTAATCCTACAACTACTACGACCTCTACAACTACAACTACGACAATGACCAAGACACCTAGTACAACCACATCCACTACCCCTACGACTGCTACAACTACAACTACGACCAAGCCACCTAGTACAACCACATCCACTACCCCAACGACCGCTGCAACTACAACTACGACCAAGCCACGTAGTACAACCACAACCACTACCCCTACGACCGCTACAACTACGACAAAGATTCCCCAGACACCAAGAATGCTCTCTGAATTTCTGCCTTCTCTGATGGGAAACAAAAATAGGGCAGAGCTGTTGAGGAAACTAAGACAGATGCTTTTTAATAATGCAACAACAAAAACAGAGATGTCTTTTGTTGCCATTAATCCTACAACTACTACGACCTCTACAACTACAACTACGACAATGACCAAGACACCTAGTACAACCACATCCACTACCCCTACGACTGCTACAACTACAACTACGACCAAGCCACCTAGTACAACCACATCCACTACCCCAACGACCGTTACAACTACAACTACGACCAAGCCACGTAGTACAACCACAACCACTACCTCTACGACCGCTACAACTACGACAAATATTCCCCAGACACCAAGAATGCTCTCTGAATTTCGGCCTTCTCTGATGGGAAACAAAAATAGGGCAGAGCTGTTGAGGAAACTAAGACAGATGCTTTCTAATAATGCAACAACCAAAACAGAGATGTCTTTTGTTGCCATTAATCCTACAACTACTACGACCTCTACAACTACAACTACGACAATGACCAAGCCACCTAGTACAACCAGATCCACTACCCCTACGACTGCTACAACTACAACTACGACCAAGCCACGTAGTACAACCACAACCACTACCCCTACGACCGCTACAACTACGCCAAAGCTACATAGTACAAATATAGACACAACTAGTCGTACCTCTACATCCACATCCACTGACTCAACTTCCTATACTCCAGCGAGTACACCAACAACATCAGCTACAAGGAGTACAACCACTAGAAGTACATCTTCAACTAGTACACCACCTACGTCGTTGATGACTGCTGATGTTCTTGTTGATGTGAACCTGAAGAAGATGGAGTTTCTTAACATGCTCAGGCAGATGATGATAAGCAATCTGACTCTGAAAGCGAGTATAAAGCAGGATGTCCTTCATGGAAACAAAACACCACCCATGTCATCCACTCATCCACCAAGGACAAGGCTGACGCTTACCAGTTCTGACAATCTACGTAAACAGAACAGGATTGCCACTGCATTCGAACCAAGTGTAACTTTTCGCCCAACAGTGACAGAGGCATTACCTAAGGCAACTACCACTATGATTAATTCAGGCATCTCAACCAAAGCTACATCAAGAACACAGAAGAAGACAGAGCTTTTACTGAAGTTGAAGAAAATGTTCATCCATAATATGACAACTGAATCGTCTAGAAGAATGACGAGAACACAACAGGTTACAACTAAACTAGGAATACTCACCACTCAAATGTCATCATTGGTGACTACTGTGCCAACTGGTTCTACTCCAAGGCAGAATGCCGTGCAAGACATCATTCCAACTGTGTCAGGTACGTCGCAAGCTGGAGGAAATATGCCCTCCTCCACAGAAGACATTCATACAAGAAAACATGATCCCAGTGATCTATATGTCACACGTGTCATACCTCCAAGTAGCAGCAACAAAACAGACAATTCAAACCTAACAATGCGAAAGAAGGCAGAATTGTTAAGAAAACTCAAACAAATGCTAATGCAAAATATCACTCTGGACCAGAGGTTGACGGAAGAAGCTGCTGTACCTTTGACTTCCCCTGTGACTCCAATAACTATGCCAAGATTCTTACCAAAGACTTCCATATTAACTGAAACAACAGCCTCTCCATCGTCCGCAACAACTCTACCACATGTTCCGCCATCAACAGATTCCTTTGAATTATCTTCTGCAACAACTACCACAACAGCAATCCCAATGATTGAATTTACAACAACTTCCACTACCTCAACAACTACACCAATTATATATACAACTATTACCTCAACACTTGTCTCAACAAATGTTACAACAACATCTTCAACACCTGCCACACAACCTACCTCAACAACAACATCAACAGCTGTCCCAACAACTAACATAACCTCTGCTCCTACAACGTCTCGAACAACGACTGAATCACCTGCCTTGGTGACAGTTCTAGCATCAAGTACAATATATACTGGATCGCCTACCATAACAACATACACTCCACCGCCAACATCTATTCCAAAAACTACCCCAACCATTGCCCAAACATCGACCACAAAGACTTCTTCAACGTCAATCCTAACAGCAGCAGCGACAGAATTTCCAATTAGTGATGAATCTACTACCCATTTAAATGTCTCAGAAATGTCTACAAAATCAAAATCAACATTGACAACACCACCAACAACCTCAGCCCCAAAAGCTCCCCGAACAACACACTTTACCCCTACCTTAACTCTATCAACGGCACCTCATTTCGAACCTCCCATTTCATCAGTGCCCAGCACAAGACATGGGCCTGCAGGAATTCAGCAAATTAATATTGCTTCAACCAGATCTGGTTCAAGTTCCGCAGTGCATGCCACAGGACATGCTCCAGTGATGCCCGTCAAGAATAACAGGAACAGCTTTGTTCTCAGTAAACCATCTGGCTTTAACTTCGCAAACTTCCATACGCTGACTCCTTTATCATGGCTGTACGAGAAGAACCTATTACCAAGGAGTCATTCTGCAGATCCTGGGTTCCCTATTCCTCATCGTAATGGGAATGTTGTGACATCATTCAAACCTGTAAGTGAAAACAATAAAAGAGGCAGTGATCTGAATGTACTGGACTCGATCTCCCTCAGGAATAACCCCCATGTACTAGGCAGCATACTACTGGCAAACCCTCGTGACTTCATACTGCCTGCCTCCAAGGATGTTGGTGCTGATTATTCTTCTGTTAGTGTGACAAGGAGAAGCACCTCTTTAACAGTTGCCAAAGAATCGGGCCCTGCATCTGTACCGGCGATGTCCATCCCCATATCTACAGTTATCCCATCAACTGCCCTTGACCTTGGGAATACATCGGCTGAGTCTCTAGCTGCACCAGCTAGTTTTGAAACTAGGTCTATAGCATCTACATCCACTGCATCGACAACATCTAGTACAGTTACAGTAGCTGCTTTTGCTACTAATATATCTCCACCATCAAATACTTTCTCACAACCCAGCACCTCAACACGTAAGGGCATACGTATCCCACCAACTGCTCCATCTACATATACACAGACAACAACTACTACCACTACTCCTAAAACTACATTAACTAGTACTACTGCCATGACCACCACATCAACAATGACAACCACTACCAGTACACCTACAACCAATGCCGCTGTAACTACAACAGCTACTACTACATCAACCACTACAACATCTACAACTATTAGACCGACCACTACAACAACACCTGCAACTACAACTACTACACCAACAACTACAACTACTACACCAACCACTTCAACTCCTACAACTACTACACCGACCACTACAACTCCCACAACTACCACACTGACCACTTCAACAACTCCTACAACTACCACACTGACCACTACAACAACTCCTACAACTACTACACCGACCACTACAACTCCTACTACTACCACACCGACCACTACAACTCCTACAACTACCACACCTACCACTACAACTCCTACAACTACAACACCGACCACTACAACTACTACACCAACAACAACTACAACTACGACATCAACCACTACAACCCCTACAACTACAACACCGACCACTACAACTCCCACAACTACCACACCGACCACTTCAACAACTCCTACAACTACCACACTGACCACTACAACAACTCCTACAACTACAACACCGACCACTACAACAACTCCTACAACTACTACATCAACCACTACAACTCCTACAACTACAACACCGACCACTACAACTCCTACAACTACAACACCGACCACTACAACTACTACACCAACAACAACTACAGCTACGACACCAACCACAACACCTCCTACAACTACTACACTGACCACTTCAACGACTCCTACAACTGCTACACCGACCACTACTACTCCTACAACTACTACACCGACCACTGCAACTCCTACAACTACAACACCGACCACTACAACTACTACACCAACAACTTCAACTACTACACCAACCACTACAACCCCTACAACTATTACACCGACCACTACAACTCCCACAACTACTACACCTACCACTACAACAACTCCTACAACTACAACACCGACCACTACAACAACTCCTACAACTACTACATCAACCACTACAACTCCTACAACTACCACACCGACCACTACAACTCCTACAACTACAACACCGACCACTACAACTACTACACCAACAACTACAACTTCTACATCAACCACAACACCTCCTACAACTACTACACTGACCACTATAACTCCTACAACTACTATACCGACCACTACAACTCCTACAACTACTACACTGACTACTTCAACGACTCATACAACTACTACACCAACAACTACAACTACTACACCAACCACTACAACTCCTACAACTACTACATCAACCACTACAACTCCCACAACTACCACACTGACCACTTCAACAACTCATACAACTACTACACCAACAACTACAACTACTACATCAACCACAACACCTCCTACAACTACTACACTGACCACTATAACTCCTACAACTACTATACCGACCACTACAACTCCTACAACTACTACACTGACTACTTCAACGACTCATACAACTACTACACCAACAACTACAACTACTACACCAACCACTACAACTCCTACAACTACTACATCAACCACTACAACTCCCACAACTACCACACCGACCACTTCAACAACTCATACAACTACCACACTGACCACTACAACAACTCATACAACTACTACACCGACCACTACAACAACTCCTACAACTACAACATCAACCACTACAACAACTCCTACAACTACAACACCGACCACTACAACTCCTACAACTACTACACCGACCACTACAACAACTCATACAACTACCACACTGACCACTACAACAACTCATACAACTACTACACCGACCACTACAACAACTCCTACAACTACAACATCAACCACTACAACAACTCCTACAACTACAACACCGACCACTACAACTCCTACAACTACTACACCGACCACTACAACAACTCATACAACTACCACACTGACCACTACAACAACTCATACAACTACTACACCGACCACTACAACAACTCCTACAACTACAACATCAACCACTACAACTCCTACAACTACTACACCGACCACTACAACAACTCATACAACTACCACACTGACCACTACAACAACTCATACAACTACTACACCGACCACTACAACAACTCCTACAACTACAACATCAACCACTACAACTCCTACAACTACTACACCGACCACTACAACAACTCCTACAACTACTACACCGACCACTACAACAACTCATACAACTACAACACCGACCACTACAACTACAACACCGACCACTACAACTACTACACCAACCACTACAACTCCTACAACTACTACATCAACCACTACAACTCCCACAACTACCACACCGACCACTTCAACAACTCATACAACTACCACACTGACCACTACAACAACATCTACAACTACAACACCGACCACTACAACAACTCCTACAACTACTACACCGACCACTACAACAACTTCTACAACTACAACACCGACCACTACAACTCCTCCAACTACCACACCAACCACTACAACTCCTACAACTACAACACCGACCACTACAACTCCTCCAACTACAACACCGACCACTACAACACCGACCACAACAACTCCTCCAACTACAACAACTCCTACAACTACTACATCAACCACTACAACTCCTACAACTACCACACCAACCACTACAACAACTCCTACAACTACAACACCGACCACTACAACTACAACACCGACCACTACAACTACTACACCAACAACTACAACTACTACACCAACAACTACAACACCGACCACTACAACTACCACACCAATCACTACAACAACTCCTACAACTACTACAACTCCTACAACTACTACATCAACCACTACAACTCCTACAACTACTACACCGATCACTACAACAACTCCTACAACTACTACATCAACCACTACAACTCCTACAACTACTACATCAACCACTACAACTCCTACAACTACCACACCAACCACTACAACTCCTACAACTATCACACCAACCACTAAAACTCCTACAACTACCACACCGACCACTACAACAACTCCTACAACTACTACACCGACCACTACAACAACTCCTACAACTACCACACCAACCACTACAACAACTCCTACAACTACCACACCAACCACTACAACAACTCCTACAACTACAACACCGACCACTACAACTACAACACCGACCACGACAACAACTACACCAACAACTACAACTACTACACCAACAACTACAACTCCTACACCAACAACTACAGCTACTACACCAACCACTACAACTGCTACAACAACAACACCCACAACTCCCACACCAATCACAACACCAACTCTTACAACTACTACATCAACAACTACAACAACTTCTACAACTACTACACTGACCACTTCTAGTACTCCAACCACAACAAAAACTACAACCACATCTACTACATCAGCATCATCGGCTACTGACACTACTACTTCAGCTACAACTGCTACAGCAACCGCTGTTACTGCACCCATTGTATCTAAAACAACTTCAGCTAAATCTACGACCTCAGGCGCCTTTTCCACTGAAGATGTTACTGACATTACTGCAACTACCACTACACCCACTACAGCTACAGCTCCAACTTCCTCCACAACACCAGCTACTGCTGCTAATCAACTTCAGGAACCTGGAGTCTTAGATGCCTTGAAAAACCTTCTGATGGACTTCGGTCTCATGCAAGTCTCCGGACAGCAATCATCTACAGCCACTACCACGACAACGACCACAGCAACAACACCCACAACAACAACAATAACGACTCCATCGACAACAACAACAACAACAACAACAACAACCTCAACAACCACATCTACGATTCCTCAGACGACAAGAACCACACCAACAACCACATCATCCTCATTTTGTCCACAAGATCAAATTGTAGAGTGTGGCCCCAGGACGCGGTCCTTTGGCGGGGCCAGGCTCGCCCGTCTGTGGACCATGTGTCAGTCTCGTTGTTCTCTAGACGGAAGCTGTGACACCCCGCTGTGCTCGTGTACGTGCATCCCAGTCACACCAAACAGATATGACCGAAGCGAGGACTCATGAGGCGGGTTACAGGTTGAAACAGTTCTCATGTGATCAACTCTGCTGTACCCATTTCGTAAGTTTCGAGTTGTTTCGTTTCTGAGTAGTGTGCTGTCTCAGGATGCAACTGAGGGGAACGTAAAGTGGTGTTTCAAGAGGCACTTGTGATCGCAAAATGCTGAGGTAGGGGACGTTTCAAGAGGCACTTGTGATGGCAAAATGCTGAGGTGGGGGACGTTTCAAGATGCACTTGTGATGGCAAAATGTCGAGGTGGGGGACGTTTCAAGAGACACTTGGGGTGGCGGAATGTCGAGGTGGGGGACGTTTCAAGAGGCACTTGGGGTGGCAGAATGTCGAGGTGGGGGACGTTTCAAGAGACGCTTGTGATGGCAGAATGTCGAGGTAGGGGACGTTTCAAGATACACTTATGATGGCAAAATGCTGAGGTAGGGGACGTTTCAAGAGGCACTTGTGATGGCAGAATGTCGAGGTGGGGGACGTTTCAAGAGACACTTGGGGTGGCACATAAGGATTGTGCGATGTTTCAAGAGACACTTGGCGTGGCACATAAGGATGGTGCAATGTTTCAAGAGACACTTGGCGTGGCACATAAGGATCGTGCAATGTTTCAAGAGACACTTGGCGTGGCACATAAGGATGGTGCGATGTTTCAAGAGACACTTGGCGTGGCACATAAGGATGGTGCAATGTTTCAAGAGACACTTGGCGTGGCACATAAGGATGGTGCGATGTTTCAAGAGACACTTGGGGTGGCACATAAGGATGGTGCAATGTTTCAAGAGACACTTGGGGTGGCACATAAGGATGGTGCGATGTTTCAAGAGACACTTGGGGTGGCACATAAGGATGGTGCAATGTTTCAAGAGACACTTGGGGTGGCACATAAGGATGGTGCAATGTTTCAAGAGACACTTGGGGTGGCACATAAGGATGGTGCGATGTTTCAAGCGGCACTTCGGATTGCATACCGAGGTCTCGGGCAGGACAGTTGCATGGCGTGAGGCACTACGATGTGGACCACCAGGACGTGTGGTGACGAGTGTCGAGATGGTGAGGTGCTTCTCGAAATATTTGACTGTCAAAAGGCGTGACGTTTCAGGAAACACTTGATTTTGGTTGAGATAAGATGAGGAGACGCTTGACAATGACCTTCAAGATGAGGTGACGCTTGGAATTGACTGTCAAGATGGCGTGACGTTTGAGATTGACTGTCAAGATGGCGTGACGTTTGAGATTGGCTGTCAAGATGGCGTGACGCTCGAGATTGACTGTCAAGATTGTGTGACGCTCGAGAATGACTATCAAGATGGTGTGACGTTTGAGATTGACTGTCAAGATGGCGTGACGTTTGAGATTGGCTGTCAAGATGGTGTGACGCTCGAGATTGACTGTCAAGATTGTGTGACGCTCGAGAATGACTATCAAGATGGTGTGACGCTCGAGAATGACTGGCAAGATGGTGGCGCCGGGGTAGAAGTACACACGCAAGATGTAGTGGTGGATTCACCGCACACTTTGGATATCTTGACATTTAATGTCATGTACCATTGCTTGTTTCAAAACAAGGGCTGTACAAATTTACATTAATTTACTCATGAAAATGGTTCGGAAAAGCACGTGTAAACGTGGAGTTGTTCCACCAAAGCCATGGGAGTTGTTCCACCAAAGCCATTGTTGAAGTGGATGATTGAAACCAGTGTTAGAACGTGGCAGGTGTCTTTTTAAAACTTTTGAATATTTTGGTTCCATTATATATTTTCTATCTAAGCAGGAGACGTTACAGTTCTATACGTGGTCTGTTATACATTAGTTATGTTGATACTTGCCTTGCGTTGATAGGCTCACTGTAACATGTCTACAGACCAGGTTAGTTCCTTGCCTTGCGTTGATAGGCTCACTGTTACATGTCTACAGACCAGGTTAGTGTTATGTTGATACTTGCCTTGCGTTGATTGGCTCACTGTTACATGTCTACAGACCAGGTTAGTTCCTTGCCTTGCGTTGATAGGCTCACTGTTACATGTCTACAGACCAGGTTAGTGTTATGTTGATACTTGCCTTGCGTTGATTGGCTCACTGTAACATGTCTACAGACCAGGTTAGTTATGTTGACACTTGCCTTGCGTTGATTGGCTCACTGTTACATGTCTACAGACCAGGTTAGTTTGTCCCGGTGTTTCCTATGATGGGTGATAAGTAAACCTCGACATGCTGAAGAGTAGTATCTGTCATCAGGGTGTAGAAGGTGACCAGAAGCTACACAACTGTGCCTCGGTTCAATTATAATAAGCGATTGTTTCAGTTGCTCCACAGCATTTCAGTGAGTGAGTGAGTGAGTATGGTTTGACTCCCGACATGGGTACAATGCGTGAAGCCCATTTCTGGTGTCCCCCGCCGTGATATTTCTGGAATATTGCTAGAAGCGGCCTAAAACCATACTCACTCACTCACTCACTCACTATTGCCACTGTAGTCATTCCAGTGCTATGAATTGTGTACGTAGAATGAATGTTTTATGAACACAGCTATAGTTTTTAACATATTAGACATTCCAATATATATCCGTTATATGTCTTATGTATAATAATATAGATTTAGAAACATAATAAACAAAACAGAAACTTTAGATATCTGTCTTATCATTCATTACTGGGGGGTGGGGGTGGTGTGTGTGTGTGTGTGTGTGTGTGTGTGTGTGTGTGTGTGTGTGTGTGTGTGTGTGTGTGTGTGTGTGTGTGTGTGTGTGTGTGTGTGTGTCCAGTCGTCTGCAGCGCCGACCTCGCTCTGCAGTGTGGCCAGGAGTAGATGCGCCAAGCACACAGAGTCAACTGAAGCGCCGACCTCGCTCTGCAGTGTGGCCAGGAGTAGACGCGCCAATCACACAGAGTCGTCTGAAGCGCCGACCTCGCTCTGCAGTGTGGCCAGGAGTAGACGCGCCAATCACACAGAGTCGTCTGAAGCGCCGACCTCGCTCTGCAGTGTGATCAGAAGCAGACGCGCCAAGCACACAGAGTCGTCTGAAGCGCCGACCTCGCTCTGCAGTGTGATCAGAAGCAGACGCGCCAAGCACACAGAGTCAACTGAAGCGCCGACCTCGCTCTGCAGTGTGGCCAGGTGTAGATGCGCCAAGCACACAGAGTCAACTGAAGCGCCGACCTCGCTCTGCAGTGTGATCAGAAGCAGACGCGCCAAGCACACAGAGTCGTCTGAAGCGCCGACCTCGCTCTGCAGTGTGATCAGGAGCAGACGCGCAAAGCACACAGAGTCTGAAGCGCCGACCTCGCTCTGCAGTGTGATCAGAAGCAGACGCGCCAATCACACAGGGTCGTCTGAAGCGCCGACCTCGCTCTGCAGTTTGATCAGAAGCAGACGCGCCAATCACACAGGGTCGTCTGAAGCGCCGACCTCGCTCTGCAGTTTGATCAGAAGCAGACGCGCCAATCACACAGAGTCATTTGAAGCGCCGACCTCGCTCTGCAGTGTGGCCAGGAGCAGACGCGCCAAGCACACAGAGTCAACTGAAGCGCCGACCTCGCTCTGCAGTTTGATCAGAAGCAGACGCGCCAATCACACAGGGTCGTCTGAAGCTCCGACCTCGCTCTGCAGTTTGATCAGAAGCAGACGCGCCAATCACACAGGGTCGTCTGAAGCGCCGACCTCGCTCTGCAGTTTGATCAGAAGCAGACGCGCCAATCACACAGAGTCATCTGAAGCGCCGACCTCGCTCTGCAGTGTGGCCAGGAGCAGACGCGCCAAGCACACAGAGTCAACTGAAGCGCCGACCTCGCTCTGCAGTTTGATCAGAAGCAGACGCGCCAATCACACAGGGTCGTCTGAAGCGCCGACCTCGCTCTGCAGTGTAGCCAGGAATAGACGCGCCAATCACACAGAATCGTCTTCATCAGTTCCCAGCACAGCTCGAATGTGTTCATGGGTTTCTCAGTTTCTCGTGCTGTGGGTTCTCTTTAAGACCTGCATCTCTTCGGGGCTTCCTTTTCCCTGAAGCTGGCACGGCGTGATGGAGCTGTATAAATGTTCCAGCGAACCATGGTTAGCAGACAGGCTGCTTTCTGATTGGTCGATCATTTTAGTTGAAGGGGAAAACACTCGAACTGCTGGAACAGTAATCAAGTAGAGAGCTGCTTGCCGACACACACCCATTCTGTGAGGGTCTGGTGTCGACCATTTGCTTTCGATCGGTATTATTACACAACAAGACAGATTTGGGAGGTGTCATGCCTTGTTTGGATTTTGTTTGTTTATATGTGGGTTTGTTATTTAACGCCGCACTCAGCAATATTCCAGCTATATGACGGCGGTATGTAAATAATCGAGTCTGGACCAGACAACCCAGTGATTGACATCATGAGCATCGGTCGAAGAATCCCTCAGGGATAATTTTTAATTTTACATATATCTTGCATTTAAAAATATACCCAAGATACATGTAAATGTGTTCAACTATACTGTATAATAATGTAAGTCCCGATGTGTTTTTAATAGCATCTGGAATATATTTAATATATAGGGGAAATATACGTGAATCATGAGGCAACGAGTTGACAATTCTTTTAGCTATGCCCGTTTGTGCTTAAATGGAACCGAGTCGCAAAACTAGAGACGCGAGAAGCACGAGTCGCTGTTCGGCTTGTCCCGGAATAACACGAGTTGTACTGGTAGGGAGTGTCTGGCCATGTGAACAAATATAATAGGACAGGGCATTTCTGACACTCGTGATATTAATTGATCTAGACATATTTAGGTAACGACATAAGGGACTATGGGTTGGCATGGCTTCGTTGATCATCCTTTAACAGGCTGTTGTGTTTATTTTATTTATTTTTTCCCACTTTATTCATCTCAGCAGGTACAGCATTTATAAACTGACGTCCAAAAGAAACTTAACCAGAGTTTGAAATCACTCTTGCTCAAAAACAACAAAACATACATGCATGAAGTAAAGTGTATTGAGAAGATCAATATATCAACATAATCAACACTGAAAATGAAAATCAAAACCGCGACCGAGGATGACGTCAGAGCACCCCAAAGTTGGGTGTGGTACAAAACTCGAGCTTTCAGAATCATGGACAATAGGCAGAGTACATAAACAATCGCTCACGTTCAATAAGTCATTAGTAGCGTGTGTGACCACCAAATGCCTCAATACACGCATAAACTCTTCGACGCACAGAAAAAGTCAGTCGTCTGATGAGGTCACTTGGGATTTGACGCCTTTCTTCTTGGAGGGCCAAGATCAGTTCTTGCCGGTTGGCTGGAGAGTGTGGTCGTTGTCGAACACGACGATCCATCAAGTCCCAGAGGTGTTCTGTGGGGGACATGTCGGGTGAGCGTGTAGGCCACGGCAGGCCGTTGACGTTGTTGGCTGCGAGGAAGTTAGTGACAATTCTGGCTGTATGGGCTCTAGCGTTGTCATGCTGATAAATGACACCACGTGGCTGCTGTTTGAGAAATGGTAGGACAACTGGACGAAAAATGTTATCCATGTAACGCTGAGCTGTCAAGTTTCAGTCAACGATTACCAGCGGTGTCCTCTCCTGCTCACAGATCCCTCCCCACACCATGACACTCCCTCCACCATATGGTACGACCTCCTGTACGCAACACGCAGTCGTTCGTTTACCCCTTTTTTGCGGTAAACACGTTGTCTTCTATCAGCCCTAAACATACAGAATCGCCATTCGTCAGTGAAGACAACCCTCTGCCAGTCACGTCGTTGCCAACGTCGTACAGTCCGGGCCCATCTCAATCGTAGACGACGATGTTGCGCTGTCAATAGCTGTCCTCTGTATGGTCTAAAAGCCCTGATTCCATTAGCCCTGAGTCTCCTGGCCACTGTCTGTCGACTAACCCTGTGACCTAAGGCATTTGTCGCCGATGACGTCACTGTCAGGAAGCGATTTCAGAGGTGCAAGGTACGCAAGTACCGGTCATCATGGGTCGTGGTCACCCTGGGTCTGCCTGTTCTTGGCCTGTCAGCGGTCCGCCCTGTCTGTCTGTAACGTTGCATCAAGTTGGTAACGGCAACACGGGAGCAACCGAAGGTTCGTGCAATATGGGCGTGGGTGGCTCCCATCTGTACCATACCCAAGGCTCGTTAACGTTGTTCGACTGTGAGTCGTGGCATTTCTTTTGTTTTTTTATCACTGTGGATGTCTGACTTGCCGTTGCAATCGTTTTATACCCTTACCAGCACTTGCATTTGCAGTTGTCAGTGGTGCACGTGTTTTTCACTTTTTCGCGTGTTATCTCGCAAACATGTAACAGACGATTAACATTTTCTGCATACACTATTGTTGTATTTAGGTTATGTGTTTTAGATAGACTTCATCGAAAAAAATGTATACTTTCTCTGAAATTTATATTTTCAGTTGGTAAAGTTTCTTTTGGACGTCAGTTTATATACACGTCATGTCAATACAATTGTGGTACATGGTTTTAAAAAAATGTACATCTTTCCATACAATAAATTCTTGCCTGTAAAGTCCACGTACTGTATCAGTGTATCACTGTTCAGTTTTTAACAAAGTGTGGAAGGAAGACCAAAAACTACAAAAGTTTACGTAGTTACAATTTGTGAATGACATAACCTTTGTTGAGTTTATTGGTTTGAAAATGGACTAATGTGTCAATATGTGTGTCAGTAAAATATACCAACAAGATAGACAAAATTTTATGGATAACAACTTCTTTAATACTGTAAAAAGCGACGTTTCGGTATAGATCCTTATACCGTTGTCAAGCAAGACTGAATGAGGGACATAGTGCAGAATATATATAGCAAGTGGAGGATTAACAGTAGAGGATTAACAGTAACAACAAGGGCATACATAAGTGGGATAACATAGGTGGGTGTGACAACAAGGATGATGCTATCACCATTCCTCTACTGTTAATCCTCCACTTGCTATATATATTCTGCACTATGTCCCTCATTCAGTCTTGCTTGACAACGGTATAAGGATCTATACCGAAACGTCGCTTTTTACACTATTAAAGAAGTTGTTATCCATAAAATTTTGTCTATCTTGTCATCCGCCAACTTCTAAGTAATGCCTATCAAACAAAATATACCAAATTTCTGCTCTAGTTTTAAGTTCAGAGATCACAGAGAGCATCCAATAACAGGGCCCTCTTGCACAAAGTGATCTTAGCGCTAAGACCATTGGAAGTGTAAATGGTGTATGGCTAATAGTCTTAGCGCTTAGATCGCTTTGTGCAAGTGGGCCCAGGGCATATTTCCTATAAACGGACAAGACGTATTTCGCTCCGTGGGGCGGTCGGGTAGCCTAGTGGTTAAGCGTTCGCTCGTCACGCTGTAGACACGGGTTCGATTCCCCATATGGGCACAATGTGTGAAGCCCATTTCTGGTGTCCCCCACCGTGATTTTGCTGGCATATTGCTCAAATCGGCGTAAAACCATACTCACTCACTCAATATTACGCTCCGTGCCGCCTCCTTTGTTTTTAGATGGAGTGCGCGCCCAAAGACTGGAAGTTCGATAGCTCACTCTCCGGCTGCGTCACGCCAAGAGACGTTTATCTACCTGTCGCTCGTTAGTTGTCCCTAATGACAAGCATAGTCGCCTTTTAAAGCAAGCTGGGTTTGCCGAAGACCTACTCTAACCCGGATCTTCACGGATCGTCTAGAAAAGTCGTTGCTCGTCTCCTGATGAACTATTTACACTCAGGGATGTCGAGAGGGCCCATAGCATGAGACACGGTCGCCCAACGAACCACGCCCGGTTATGACGAAAATGGTTCATTGGGACGTAAAATAAAGACTCTGAACTTGAGAGATTCTCTTAAGCCACAGGCTACATTATAGCTAACGACCTGACGAAAGAAATAAAACAATGCAAAGAGAAAGACCCAAACAAATATTATTTCTACAAAGGCGGTAAACTGTCGTCTGCTCCTGCACGTGATACGTACTCTTCACGCGCTAATGCAGAGGTGACACGAGTCACGAGTCACGTGACAGATGCAACCCAGAGGCCGACAGGGGTAACGCGTCAGGGGTGGGAGACGACACAGACGAGATAGGCGTGGTCAGGGCCCGGATATACAGGGGGCGGCGTCTGAACCTACTAGTAGTATCATTAATGCTGTAGTACTCGTGTTGAGGAATATATCAGGATTGCTCCCAGATTGGGGGTGTATATCATTTCTTAAACCATTTGACATACCGTATTCGACGTAATAAGCGCCCCGCTCTAATAAGCGCCCACGGCGGTATTTGCTAATATATTGACTAGTGAACAATCCCAATTAGCACCCCTGGGCGATTATCACGTCGAATACGGTAATTGGTTTGACAGAAACATTGACTCAAAAAGTGAATGTTGATGATACCTTCTGCGAATAAACTCCCTGCAGAAACAAAGCAGACAAGATAGCGAATGTTTGAAGACCTTCAGGTCGAAAGCGTTGATATCAAACAGAATCTCACAGAACATGTTACAGGTTCATGGATCACAGAAAGTGATGTATTACTTGACAGGGCACTGCTTGGACTTAAACATCACAGTTTATACTGCTGTGTGTTTATTCACCAAGAAGGATCTACATGGTACGGCAGTAATGTTGGATCTAAGAACAGTATATTGCTATTTCAGGATGAACTAAGTGATGTTGACGACATTTTAGGGGATGACTTTAATGAAAGAACTAGAATAGAGTCGGATTATGATGAGGATGATAAACTTCAATATCCCATTGGCCAGGATACGTCATACGGGGACTCTCGCCAAGATGGGCTTAATCTGTGTAGACATTCAAACGATACAGTTCTTAATAATTTTGGAAACTGTTTTATTAATGCATGCTCTGTTTTGAATGTACACATTTTGAATGGCGGCTGTGGAAGTGATCCCGGGAAGGTAACATGTGTTGGCAATGCTGGGGCAAGTGTTATTGATTACATTATTAGCACCATAGATATATTTGACTTGTGTGATAATTATGATGTGGAGTCTCACATCGAAGGACAGCATCTGCCCATCACAATGTCTTTACGAGCGCTTCATTCATGTGGGAAATCATCATTTGATAACGCCTATCAATGTTCAATGTCTACTGTATGAATCTGAGTATGGTTATATTTTGGACTATCAATGTTCAATGTCTACTGTATAAATGTGAGTATGGTTTTATTGGGCCTACAACGTTCAATGTCTACTGTATAAATGTGAGTATGGTTACATTTTGCCTACAAGTTTAAATGTCTACTGTATAGATGTGAGTATGGTAATATTTGGGACCATCAATTTTCCTTAGAGAATCATGCCATGTTCATATGGAAGATAAGACTGACGTCACATCTTCTCTTGTTGGTCATATTTCCTGGTGTTCGGACCGCCTCGTTATCTGGACCAGTTCCTGCAAAGAGATTTTAGTGGGTCACTTACATGCGTTTGATTTTAGTTAGGGACACTCCATTTAATATAAGGAGAGAGTGATGGGGGATGGTGAGGGGTAGGGGAGGGGGTTACCAAATGATAAGTCTTGGTCCTTGGTGGTCCTTTGAAGGTGCAACTGATGGTGGTCCTTGGATGTTGCAACTGATGTTGGTCCAAGGAAGGTATACGTGATGGTGGTCCTTGGAAGGCGTAACTGGTGGTGGCCCTTGGTCCTAGGAGGGTGCAGCTTGTCCTTGGTGGTCCTTGGAAGGTGCAACTGATTGTCCTCCTTGGTCCATGGAAGGTGCAACTGGTGGTGGTCCTTGGTCCTTGGAAGATGAAACTGATGTTGGTCCTTGGATCTTGGAAGTCGCAACTGGTGGTGGTCCATAGAAGGTGCAACTGATGGTGGTCCTTGGTCCTTGGAAGATGAAACTGATGTTGGTCCTTGGATCTTGGAAGGTGTAACAGGTGGTGGTCCATAGAAGGTGCAACTGATGGTGGTCCTTGGTCCTTGGAAGATGAAACTGATGTTGGTCCTTGGATCTTGGAAGGTGTAACAGGTGGTGGTCCATAGAAGGTGCAACTGATGGTGGTCCTTGGTCCTTGGAAGATGAAACTGATGTTGGTCCTTGGATCTTGGAAGTCGCAACTGGTGGTGGTCCATAGAAGGTGCAACTGATGGTGGTCCGTGGTCCTTGGAAGGTGTAACAGGTGGTGCTCCTTGGTCCTTGGAAGGCGCAACTGATGGTGGTCCTTGGTCCTTGGAAGGTGTAACAGGTGGTGCTCCTTGGTCCTTGGAAGGCGCAACTGATAGTGGTCCTTGAAGGTGCAACTGCTGGTGGGCTTATGGAAGGTGCAACTCGTCCTTGGTGGTCCTTGGGTAAGAATGTTTGGACATAAGGTCGAATTTTGCCTTCGAACAGGTGATGTTGGAAAGCGAACAAGTATGTATAGACAGTTGTTTCGGAAATAAATGTATTCATGATTGAACATAGATGGAAAATGGTTTGGGACACCCACCTCTTGCTCTCTGCTCTCCTGGCTACGGCGGAGGTTGGCTCTGACGGGTCGTGGGGGACAGCGGCTGTACAGCACGGGAACGAGAAACCTTGGGTCCACATCACCCAGGCGGTTCATGCCTGCAACATAAGAGGCCTGTGTCAGGCGCCGCACATCACCCAGGCGCTTCATGCCTGCAACATAAGAGGCCTGTGTTAGGCGCCGCACATCACCCAGGCGGTTCATGCCTGCAACATAAGAGGCCTGTGTCAGGCGCCGCACATCACCCAGGCGGTTCATGCCTGCAACATAAGAGGCCTGTGTCAGGCGCCGCACATCACCCAGACGCTTCATGCCTGCAACATAAGAGGCCTGTGTCAGGCGCCGCACATCACCCACGCGCTTCATGCCTGCAACATAAGAGGCCTGTGTCAGGCGCCGCACATCACCCAGACGCTTCATGCCTGCAACATAAGAGGCCTGTGTCAGGCGCCGCACATCACCCAGGCGCTTCATGCCTGCAACATGAGGCCTGTGTCAGGCGCCGCGCGTTTCATCTGCTGTTGTGCGGTGTGTGGTTTTGTGGGTGTTGGTACGGCTGTTGTGTGAGGAATCGAGCCGGGTCTTCGGCGTGACAAGCGAACGCTTTAACCACTGGGCTACCCCACCGCCCCTATTACGGGTTAAAATTGGTTCCAAGCAATACGAAGAGCCTATGTGGCAACAACATGGATCAGGTCGTTCAGCTCGGTGACGGCACTGAATGCGCGTCGTCGTACCCCGTGGATAGTTCTTCATAATGTCAATCACTGGTTTGTTTAGTGCATACCCAATTGTTCCAACGCCACCGTCATATAGCTGGTATATTGCGTAGTGCGGCACTAGCTGACAACCATTACAACGTACTTTACCTGTCATAGCGCTGACAATCAGACCGACAACAACCGCTGTGACTGCACCAATAGTGGAATACCACAGGTAAGACACCGTGTACAGGGCGGAGATACCAGCACTGAAACATGATAGAGAGGACACTGTGTACAGGGCGGAGATACCAGCACTGAAACATGGTAGAGAAGTTACTGTGTACAGGGCGGAGATACCAGCACTGAAACATGGTAGAGAGGACACTGTGTACAGGGCGGATATACCAGCACTGAAACATGATAGAGAGGACACTGTGTTCAGGGCGGAGATACCAGCACTGACATATGGTAGAGAGGACATTGTGTACAGGGCGGAGATACCAGCACTGAAACATGATAGAGAGGACACTGTGTTCAGGGCGGAGATACCAGCACTGAAACATGGTAGAGAGGACACTGTGTACAGGGCAGAGATACCAGGACTGAAACATGGTAGAGAGGATATTGTGTACAGGGCGGAGATACCAGCACTGAAACATGGTAGAGAGGACATTGTGTACAGGGCGGAGATACCGGCACTGAAACATGATAGAGAGGACACTGTGTTCAGGGCGGAGATACCAGCACTGACATATGGTAAATAGGCCATTGTGTACAGGGCGGAGATACCAGCACTGAAACATGGTAGAGAAGTTACTGTGTACAGGGCGGAGATACCAGCACTGAAACATGGTAGAGAAGTTACTGTGTACAGGGCGGAGATACCAGTACTGAAACATGGTAGAGAGGACACTGTGTACAGGGCGGAGATACCAGCACTGAAACATGGTAGAGAAGTTACTGTGTACAGGGCGGAGATACCAGCACTGAAACATGGTAGAGAAGTTACTGTGTACAGGGCGGAGATACCAGCACTAAAACATGGTAGAGAGGACACTGCGTACAGGGCGGAGATACCAGCACTGAAACATGGTAGAGTAGAGATGAGGTAGAGAGGACACCGTGTACAGGGCGGAGATACCAGCACTGAAACATGGTAGAGGACACTGTGTACAGGGCGGAGATTCCGGCACTGAAACATGATAGAGAGGACACTGTGTTAAGGGCGGAGATACCAGCACTGACATATGGTAGAGAGGACATTGTGTACAGGGCGGAGATACCAGCACTGAAACATGGTAGAGAAGTTACTGTGTACAGAGCGGAGATACCAGCACTGAAACATGGTAGAGAGGACACAGTGTACAGGGCGGAGATACCAGCACTGAAACATGGTAGAGAAGTTACTCTGTACAGGGCGGAGATACCAGCACTGAAACATGGTAGAGAGGACACTGCGTACAGGGCGGAGATACCAGCACTGAAACATGATAGAGAGGACACTGTGTACAGGGCGGAGATACCAGCACTGAAACATGGTAGAGAGGACACTGTGTAAAGGGCGGAGATACCAGCACTGAAACATGGTAGAGAGGACACTGTGTGTACAGGGCGGAGATACCAGCACTGAAACATGGTAGAGAAGTTACTGTGTACAGGGCGGAAATACCAGCACTGAAACATGGTAGAGTAGAGATGAGGTAGAGAGGACACCGTGTACAGGGCGGAGATACCAGCACTGAAACATTGTAGAGAGGACACTGTGTACAGGGCGGAGATACCAGTACTGAAAGATGGTAGAGATGTGACTGTGTACAGGGCGGAGATACCAGCACTGAAACATGGTAGAGAAGTTACTGTGTACAGGGCGGAGATACCAGCACTGAAACATGGTAGAGAGGACACTGTGTACAGGGCGGAGATACCAGCACTGAAACATGGTAGAGAAGTTACTGTGTACAGGGCGGAGATACCAGCACTGAAACATGGTAGAGAAGTTACTGTGTACAGGGCGGAGATACCAGCACTGAAACATGGTAGAGAGGACACTGTGTACAGGGCGGAGATACCAGCACTGAAACATGGTAGAGAGGACACCGTGTACAGGGCGGACATACCAGCACTGAAACATGGTAGAGAAGTTACTATGTACAGGGCGGAGATACCAGCACTGAAACATGGTAGAGTAGAGATGAGGTAGAGAGGACACTGTGTACAGGGCGGAGATACCAGCACTGGAACATGATAGATTAGAGATGAGGTAGAGAGGACACTGTGTACAGGGCGGAGATACCAGCACTGAAACATGGTAGAGAGGACACTGTGTACAGGGCGGAGATACCAGCACTGAAACATGATAGAGAGCACACGGTGTGTACAGGGCGGAGATACCAGCACTGGAACATGATAGAGAGGACACTGTGTACAGGGCGGAGATACCAGCACTGAAACATGTTAGGGAAGTTACTGTGTACAGGGCGGAGATACCAGCACTGAAACATGGTAGAGAGGACACTGTGTACAGGGCGGAGATACCAGCACTGAAACATGGTAGAGAGGACACTGTGTACAGGGCGAAGATACCATCACTGAAACATGGTAGAGAGGACATTGTGTACAGGGCGGAGATACCAGCACTGAAACATGGTAGAGAGGACACTGTGTACAGGGCGGAGATACCAGCATTGAAACATGGTAGAGAGGACACTGTGTACAGGGCGGAGATACCAGCACTGAAACATGGTAGAGAAGTTACTGCGTACAGGGCGGAGATACCATCACTGAAACATGGTAGAGAGGACACTGTGTACAGGGCGGAGATACCAGCACTGAAACATGGTAGAGAAGTTACTGTGTACAGGGCGGAGATACCAGAACTGAAACATGGTAGAGAAGTTACTGTGTACAGGGCGGAGATACCAGCACTGAAACATGGTAGAGAGGACACTGTGTACAGGGCGGAGATACCAGCACTGAAACATGGTAGAGAGGACACCGTGTACAGGGCGGACATACCAGCACTGAAACATGGTAGAGAAGTTACTATGTACAGGGCGGAGATACCAGCACTGAAACATGGTAGAGTAGAGATGAGGTAGAGAGGACACTGTGTACAGGGCGGAGATACCAGCACTGGAACATGATAGATTAGAGATGAGGTAGAGAGGACACTGTGTACAGGGCGGAGATACCAGCACTGAAACATGGTAGAGAGGACACGGTGTGTACAGGGCGGAGATACCAGCACTGGAACATGATAGAGAGGACACTGTGTACAGGGCGGAGATACCAGCACTGAAACATGTTAGGGAAGTTACTGTGTACAGGGCGGAGATACCAGCACTGAAACATGGTAGAGAGGACACTGTGTACAGGGCGGAGATACCAGCACTGAAACATGGTAGAGAGGACACTGTGTACAGGGCGAAGATACCATCACTGAAACATGGTAGAGAGGACATTGTGTACAGGGCGGAGATACCAGCACTGAAACATGGTAGAGAGGACACTGTGTACAGGGCAGAGATACCAGCACTGAAACATGATAGAGAGGACACTGTGTACAGGGCGGAGATACCAGCACTGAAACATGGTAGAGAGGACACTGTGTACAGGGCGGAGATACCAGCATTGAAACATGGTAGAGAGGACACTGTGTACAGGGCGGAGATACCAGCATTGAAACATGGTAGAGAGGACACTGTGTACAGGGCGGAGATACCAGCACTGAAACATGGTAGAGAAGTTACTGTGTACAGGCCGGAGATACCAGCACTGAAACATGGTAGAGAGGACACTGTGTACAGGGCGGAGATACCAGCACTGAAACATGGTAGAGAGGACACTGTGTACAGGGCAGAGATACCAGCACTGAAACATGGTAGAGAAGTTACTGTGTACAGGGCGGAGATACCAGCACTGAAACATGGTAGAGAGGACACTGTGTACAGGGCGGAGATACCAGCACTGAAACATGGTAGAGAGGACACTGTGTTCAGGGCGGAGATACCAGCACTGAAACATGGTAGAGAAGTTACTGTGTACAGGGCGGAGATACCAGTACTGAAACATGGTAGAGAGGACACTGTGTACAGGGCGGAGATACCAGCACTGAAACATGGTAGAGAGGACACTGTGTACAGGGCGGAGATACCATCACTGAAACATGATAGAGAGGACACTGTGTACAGGGCGGAGATACCAGCACTGAAACATGGTAGAGAGGACACTGTGTACAGGGCGGAGATACCAGCACTGAAACATGGTAGAGAGGACACTGTGTACAGGGCGGATATACCAGCACTGAAACATGATATAGAGGACACTGTGTTCAGGGCGGAGATACCAGCACTGAAACATGGTAGAGAGGACACTGTGTACAACTTACAAGTGTCACTTTTGCTGTCCGTGAGTGAGTGATTGAGTTGGGTTTAACGCCGATTTTAACAGTATTCCAGTTATATCACAGCGTGTTAGCTTAATGTGGGAGGAAAGCCCAAGTGATGCAGGTCTTAGACGTTTACCACTTTGGTGAAACCCACGAGCACGGGTATGGTTCTGACAAACCTTGAAACACATTCGGGGCAAACGGGGATTTGAACCCACAATCATAGGTTTCGGGCGTACCAAAGGGACGCAACTCTGTGACAGATTCATGCCTCTATCTCTCATCATAACACCGCGGACATCCTCACATGATGCGATATGGACAAATCCTCACCCACACGACATCAGCGTACTCACTGCTGCACAGCGGCTTCATCTGTTGGCATGACGGTGGACATTGTGGTCGTCATGGTGATGTTGGGGATGCTGCAGTTGTGGGTGGGGTACTCAAGGCCAGACGGTGTTCCTACAACTGTGTAGGCTCCTATAGAGATCCACAGAGGAAACACCAGCCCCAGAACACCGCCGACCACAGCTCCCTGTAGACAATAATAGAACCTACACAAGAACACCGCCGACCACAGCTCCCTGTAGAAGATAATATAACCTAAACAAGAACACCACCGACCACAGCTCCCTGTAGAATATAATATAACCAAAATAAGAACATCGCCGACCCTGCTCCCTGTAGAAGATAATAGAACCTACACAAGAACACCGCCGACCACTGCTCCCTGTAGAAGATAATAGAACCTACACAAGAACACCACCGACCACTGCTCCCTGTAGAAGATAATAGAACCTAAACAAGAACATCGCCGACCACTGCTCCCTGTAGAAGATAACAGAACCTACACAAGATCATCGCCGACCACAGCTCCCTGTAGAAGATGATAGAACCTTCACAGGAACACTGCCGACCACTGCTCCCTGTAGAAGATGATAGAACCTTCACAGGAACACTGCCGACCACTGCTCCATGTAGAAGATGATAGAACCTTCACAGGAACACTGCCGACCACTGCTCCATGTAGAAGATAATATAAGCTAAACAAGAACACCACCGACCACTGCTCCCTGTAGAAGATAATAGAACCTAAACAAGAACATCGCCGACCACAGCTCCCTGTAGAAGATAATAGAACCTACACAAGATCATCGCCGACCCTGCTCCCTGTAGAAGATAATAGAACCTACACAAGAACACCGCCGACCACTGCTCCCTGTAGAAGATAATAGAACCTACACAAGAACACCACCGACCACTGCTCCCTGTAGAAGATAATAGAACCTAAACAAGAACATCGCCGACCACTGCTCCCTGTAGAAGATAACAGAACCTACACAAGATCATCGCCGACCACAGCTCCCTGTAGAAGATGATAGAACCTTCACAGGAACACTGCCGACCACTGCTCCCTGTAGAAGATGATAGAACCTTCACAGGAACACTGCCGACCACTGCTCCATGTAGAAGATGATAGAACCTTCACAGGAACACTGCCGACCACTGCTCCATGTAGAAGATAATATAAGCTAAACAAGAACACCACCGACCACTGCTCCCTGTAGAAGATAATAGAACCTAAACAAGAACATCGCCGACCACAGCTCCCTGTAGAAGATAATAGAACCTACACAAGATCATCGCCGACCACAGCTCCCTGTAGAAGATGATAGAACCTTCACAGGAACACTGCCGACCACTGCTCCCTGTAGAAGATGATAGAACCTTCACAGGAACACTGCCGACCACTGCTCCATGTAGAAGATGATAGAACCTTCACAGGAACACTGCCGACCACTGCTCCATGTAGAAGATAATATAAGCTAAACAAGAACACCACCGACCACTGCTCCCTGTAGAAGATAATAGAACCTAAACAAGAACATCGCCGACCACAGCTCCCTGTAGAAGATAACAGAACCTACACAAGATCATCGCCGACCACAGCTCCCTGTAGAAGATGATAGAACCTTCACAGGAACACTGCCGACCACTGCTCCATGTAGAAGATAATATAAGCTAAACAAGAACACCACCGACCACTGCTCCCTGTAGAAGATAATAGAACCTACACAAGAACACCGCCGACCACAGCTCCCTGTAGAAGATAATATAAGCTAAACAAGAACACCACCGACCACTGCTCCCTGTAGAAGATAATAGAACCTAAACAAGAACACTGCCGACCACTGCTCCCTGTAGAAGATAATAGAACCTACACAAGAACACCGCCGACCACAGCTCCCTGTAGAAGATAATAGAACCTACACAAGAACACCGCCGACCACAGCTCCCTGTAGAAGATAATATAAGCTAAACAAGAACACCACCGACCACTGCTCCCTGTAGAAGATAATAGAACCTACACAAGAACACCGCCGACCACAGCTCCCTGTAGAAGATGATAGAACCTACACAAGAACACCGCCGACCACTGCTCCCTGTAGAAGATAATATAAGCTAAACAAGAACACCACCGACCACTGCTCCCTGTAGAAGATAATAGAACCTAAACAAGAACACCACCGACCACAGCTCCCTGTAGAAGATAATAGAACCTACACAAGAACACCGCCGACCCTGCTCCCTGTAGAAGATAATAGAACCTACACAAGAACACCACCGACCACAGCTCCCTGTAGAAGATGATAGAACCTTCACAGGAACACTGCCGACCACTGCTCCATGTAGAAGATAATATAAGCTAAACAAGAACACCGCCGACCACTGCTCCCTGTAGAAGATAATATAAGCTAAACAAGAACACCACCGACCACTGCTCCCTGTAGAAGATAATAGAACCTAAACAAGAACACCACCGACCACAGCTCCATGTAGAAGATAATAGAACCTACACAAGAACACCGCCGACCCTGCTCCCTGTAGAAGATAATAGAACCTACACAAGAACACCTCCGACCACAGCTCCCTGTAGAAGATAATAGAACCTACACAAGAACACCGCCGACCCTGCTCCCTGTAGAAGATAATAGAACCTACACAAGAACACCACCGACCACAGCTCCCTGTAGAAGATAATAGAACCTAAACAAGAACACCGCCGACCACAGCTCCCTGTAGAAGATAATAGAACCTACACAAGAACACCGCCGACCACAGCTCCCTGTAGAAGATAATAGAACCTAACCAAGAACACCACCGACCACAGCTCCCTGTAGAAGATAATAGAACCTAAACAAGAACACCGCCGACCACAGCTCCCTGTAGAAGATAATAGAACCTAAACAAGAACACCACCGACCACAGCTCCCTGCAGAAGATAATAGAACCTAAACAAGAACACCGCCGACCACAGCTCCCTGTAGAAGATAATAGAACCCACACAAGAGCACCGCCGACCACTGCTCCCTGTAGAAGATAATAGAACCTAAACAAGAAGACCGCCGACCACTGCTCCCTGTAGAAGATAATAGAACCTAAACAAGAACACCACCGACCACAGCTCCCTGTAGAAGATAATAGAACCTAAACAAGAACACCGCCGACCACTGCTCCCTGTAGAAGATAATAGAACCTAAACAAGAACACCACCACAAAAATGTAAATTACCTGGTAGTTTTGCTCAAGTCTGATTTTATGTTTTTAATCACTCATTGAACAGGTAAAATATTCGCGGCCATCTTGAATTTCCAAAGGGCCGCCATTTTGCATTTGATTTGCATTTCTCCAGTGTACGATGAACAAAATAAAATATTAAATAAATCCATTTAAGTGACATTTCGCCCCATTGTATGTGTTCCGAGCTAACTCACCAGCCAGTTGGACCACGGGAAGAAGGCGCCGAGGATGAACATCCCCAGCAGGGGACCAGCAGCCGCACCCGTGAAGCTGAGACACACCTGGCAACATTCCAACATCTTGAAACATGGCTCACGTGTCAAACATTTTATCAAAACAACAAGAATATTGTTCGATTAAGATGCATAAATGTTCTATCGTGAATATATGAATTGTGTTTTAAGCCGCTTTTTGGCCTGACAAGCGAACACTTTTGGGACCCCACCGTGCCAAATTAAATTTCAACATCCTTGGAAATGTACAACAATCGAAGATTGGGATGTTTTGTATTGTCACCTACTGTTGATATAACTACTACGTCATATAGAAAAAAAAGCAAGGACAATAAATGCCACTCATTTAAATATCGAAACGTTATTCCTAAAGCACACTGACAAAAAACATGGGCCTTATACATGCCAATGTGTGTAAAGCACACCCCTCTACCCCGTACAAAATGGTTTTTTTCCATCCTCTTCCCCTGACCTTACCTGTAAGATTGTTCCGCACTCTACCTCTGCCCTCATCTGTAAGATTGTTCCACTCTCTACCTCTGCCCTCACCTGTAAGATTGTTCCACACTCTACCTCTGCCCTCACCTGTAAGATTGTTCCACACTCTACCTCTGTCCTCACCTGTAAGATTGTTCCACACTCTATCCCTGTCCTCACCTGTAAGATTGTTCAACTCTACCTCTGCCCTCACCTGTAAGATTGTTCCACACTCTACCTCTGTCCTCACCTGTAAGATTGTTCCACTCTCTACCTCTGCCCTCACCTGTAAGATTGTTCCACACTCTACCTCTGCCCTCACCTGTAAGATTGTTCCACTCTCTACCTCTGCCCTCACCTGTAAGATTGTTCCACACTCTATCCCTGTCCTCACCTGTAAGATTGTTCAACTCTACCTCTGCCCTCACCTGTAAGATTGTTCCACACTCTACCTCTGTCCTCACCTGTAAGATTGTTCAACTCTACCTCTGCCCTCACCTGTAAGATTGTTCCATCCCCTATCCCTGTCCTCACCTGTAAGATTGTTCCACACTCTACCTCTGTCCTCACCTGTAAGATTGTTCCACTCTCTACCTCTGCCCTCACCTGTAAGATTGTTCCACACTCTACCTCTGCCCTCACCTGTAAGATTGTTCCACACTCTACCTCTGCCCTCACCTGTAAGATTGTTCCACTCTCTACCTCTGCCCTCACCTGTAAGATTGTTCCACACTCTACCTCTGTCCTCACCTGTAAGATTGTTCCACACTCTACCTCTGTCCTCACCTGTAAGATTGTTCCACACTCTACCTCTGTCCTCACCTGTCCGATTGTTCCACACTCTATCCCTGTCCTCACCTGTAAGATTGTTCCACACTCTACCTCTGTCCTCACCTGTAAGATTGTTCCACCTAGGTGTATTGTAAGGAAGGACACGCCAATACCCGCACCACCGAAAACCAGCACTGGGAAGAAGATATATTTTCATTGACTTAGGTTTAGCATACTCGTCACATTGATAAAGTCACACAATCAATGTACACACGTATTATGTTTACAGTAACGTAGGCAACGAAGAATAAAATTTCATTTTTTCTACATTTTATAGATACAAAAATCAAGGTCAATCAATAACAAGAATAATGTTGTTTCGTGTTAAAGAGAGTGAGTGAGTATGGTCTTACGCCGATTTCATTAATATTCCAGCAATATCACGGCTGGGGACACCAGAAATGGGCTTCACACATTGTACCCATGTGGAGAGTCGAACACCAGTCTTCGGTTTGACCAGCGAACTCTTTAACCACTAGGCTACGGCACCCCATGGATTACCATGTTTGGTGAAATGTGTGTGTGTGTGTGTGTGTGTGTGTGTGTGTGTGTGTGTGTGTGTGTGAGAGAGAGAGAGAGAGAGATGGAATCTGGAATGGCATCTTACCAAGCAGCTTGGTGGTGAGTGTTTTCTGGGCCTCTGTTAGTTTGTCCCCAAGGGGAGGTTTTAGGACGTCCTCCCAGAACACGGCAGCCAGGGCGCTCAGGGAGGAGGACATTGTGCTGAAGGGAGTGGAGGAGTTCAACGTCATTCTCAACATGAAATAAGTCCATCAATCCTGCTAACCAATTGTACGAGTCGGACACATCACTAACCCCTTATTACTAGCACCTTATCACTAACCCCTTTTCACTAACCCCTTATCACTAACCCCTTATCACTAACCCCTTATTACTAACCCCTTATCACTAACCCCTTATCACTAACCCCTTATCACTAACCCCTTATCACTAACCCCTTATCACTAACCCCCTGTCACTAACCGCTTATTACTAACCCCAGCAGGCACGTTAATGATGTCCATTTAAAGTAAACCCGCGAACTGAGAATGTAATGAGACCAGGGACTAATTATGACTTTAGCCTCATCCCGACATATACACATAAGGTGGGAGACACGTCGCCATATTGGTGATGACCTAAAGTGTGTTTTACCCTTCAGACTCCCTTTAGTTCTTCAGTGCTCCACTAAACTGAACACTTCCTACCTGAGTGCTCCACTAAACTGAACACTTCCAACCTGAGTGCTCCACTATACTGAACACTACCTACCTGAGTGCTCCACTTAACTGAACACTTCCTACCTGAGTGCTCCACTATACTGAACACTTCCAACCTGAGTGCTCCACTATACTGAACACTACCTACCTGAGTGTTCCACTATACTGAATACTACCTACCCGAGTGCTCCACTATACTGAACACTACCTACCCGAGTGCTCCACTATACTAAACACTACCTACCTGAGTGTTCCACTATACTGAACACTACCTACCTCAGATCGCCACTATACTGAACACTTCCTACCTGAGTGCTCCACTATACTGAACACTTCCTACCTGAGTGCTCCACTATACTGAACACTACCTACCTGAGTGCTCCACTATACTGAACACTTCCTACCCGAGTGCTCCACTATACTAAACACTACCTACCTGAGTGCTCCACTATGCTGAACACTACCTACCTGAGTGCTCCACTATACTGAACACTACCTACCTGAGTGCTCCACTATACTGAACGCTACCTACCTAAGTGCTCCACTATACTGAACAGTACCTACCTGAGTCCTCCACTATACTGAACGCTACCTACCTGAGTGCTCCACTATACTGAACACTACCTACCTGAGTGCTCCACTATACTGAACACTACCTACCCGAGTGCTCCACTATACTGAACACTACCTACCTGAGTGCTCCATTATACTGAACACTACCTACCTCAGTGCTCCATTATACTGAACACTACCTACCTGAGTGCTCCACTATACTGAACACTACCTACCTGAGATCTCCACTATGCTGAACACTTCCTACCTGAGTGCTCCACTATACTGAACACTACCTACCTGAGTGCTCCACTATGCTAAACACTACCTACCTGAGTGCTCCACTATACTGAACACTTCCTACCTGAGTGCTCCACTATACTGAACGCTACCTACCTAAGTGCTCCACTATACTGAACAGTACCTACCTGAGTCCTCCACTATACTGAACGCTACCTACCTGAGTGCTCCACTATACTGAACACTACCTACCTGAGTGCTCCACTATACTGAACACTACCTACCCGAGTGCTCCACTATACTGAACACTACCTACCTGAGTGCTCCACTATACTGAACACTACCTACCTCAGTGCTCCACTATACTGAACACTACCTACCTGAGTGCTCCACTATACTGAACACTACCTACCTGAGATCTCCACTATACTGAACACTTCCTACCTGAGTGCTCCACTATACTGAACACTACCTACCTGAGTGCTCCACTATGCTGAACACTACCTACCTGAGTGCTCCACTATACTGAACACTTCCTACCTGAGTGCTCCACTATACTGAACAGTATCTACCTGAGTGCTCCACTATACTGAACACTTCCTACCTCAGTGCTCCACTATACTGAACACTACCTACCCGAGTGCTCCACTATACAAAACACTACCTACCTGAGTGCTCCACTATACTGAACACTACCTACCCGAGTGCTCCACTATACTGAACACTACCTAACTGAGTGCTCCACTATACTGAACGCTACCTACCTGTGTGCTCCACTATACTGAACACTTCCTACTTGAGTGCTCCACTATAGTGAACGCTACCTACCTGAGTGTTCCAATATACTGATCAGTACCTACCTGAGTCCTCCACTATACTGAACACTACCTACCTGAGTGCTCCACTATACTGAACGCTACCTACCTGAGTGCTCCACTATACTGAACACTGCTTGAGTGCTCCACTATTCTGAACACTACCTACCTGAGTGTTCCACTATACTGAACACTTCCTACCTGAGTGCTCCACTAAACTAAACACCACCCACCTGAGTGCTCCACTATACTGAACACTTCCTACCTGAGTGCTCCACGAAACTGAACGCTACCTTCCTGAGTGCTCCACTATACTGAACACTTCCTACCTGATTGCTCCACTATACTGAACACTACCTACCTGAGTGCTCCACTATGCTGAACACTACCTACCCGAGTGCTCCACTATACTGAACACTACCTACCTGAGTGCTCCACTATGCTGAACACTACCTTCCTGAGTGCTCCACTATACTGAACACTACCTACCTGAGTGCTCCACTAAACTGAACGCTACCTTCCTGAGTGCTCCACTATACTGAACACTTCCTACCTGAGTGCTCCACTATACTGAACGCTACCTACCTGAGTGCTCCACTAAACTGAACACTTCCTACCTGAGTGCTCCACTATACTGAACACTTCCTACCTGAGTGCTCCACTAAACTGAACACTTCCTACCTGAGTGCTCTACTATACTGAACGCTACCTACCTGAGTGCCCCACAGAAGAGACAGGCGATGAACAGTCCCGGGACCCCGGGGTACCCCAGCACCTCAAGCACAAAGTAGGCCATCAACTGGAATAAAAAGTGTGAGTGAGTGAGGCTCCCGTTTTGCAATATTCCAGCAATAACACGTCAAGGGACACCAGCAATGGCCTCCACACGTTCTGCCCATGTTGGGAATCACAGCCTAGAGTTCAGCACGACTGGCAAACACTTGACTCACTTGACCACCAATCTTTCCTGAATTAAACGAATGAAGCATGCGCCTAAACATGTCATGTTTGTCAAAAATCACCATAAGCCAAAAAACATTGTACACATGTAACATTGTATTTTAATGAGTAGTAACTATGCCAATGCGTTATGAGAGACAAGTTCCAACAGAATGATAGACAAAGGAAAACATTTCAAGATCTTACTTGGTTCGCGTTGCTGACTTTTTTCGCAAACAGCGGATCACATCCTTTCTTAGCGTAGTACGCAAACATGATGATCCCTGCCAGACACACGGAGGTCATCAGCAGGATGACCCCGACAATGTTCAGAATCACTGATCTGAAAAGAAACTCATCGTGACTAATCACCTTGGATGGCATATACGTGCAGGCATCTGAAGATCTGCATACGGGAACACTGATGAGGAAGAGAACTCATTGATGTCAACTTCTTTATATGAGGAATACAACGTTTCCTTATGAAAGAGGTAAGCATATACTCCGAAACGTTGTGTTCCTTACGACGGAATTGTTATCAGCAATATTCTGTAGATGGAAACACACTCGGGGACTCATGTCAGGAATGGAACCCGGGTCTTTGGCGTGACGGGCGAAGGCTTTAACCAAATATAAACCGGGCTTAGGAAACAGATTGTAGGGTTTGCAATCTCAGAAAAAACAAAACAAGTTCAATTCTGGGAAAAACAGTTGATATAGGTCTGTACACCTACACCCCACACGGCCGACGTGGGCATAAACGTCGTCCCTTGATCAATGGGGCATTTGTGACTAAACGTGGTGACCATAGATATAGTAAATTACATATTCGAAGGTTCAGGACCCACATTAAACTGACACGTAAAGAAATAATTGAAATACTGTACTATAGGTACAATTCCCATACTCACTCACTCACTCACTCACTCACTCACTCACTGATTTACTCACTCACTCACTCACTCACTCACTCACTCACTCACTCACTCACCCACTCAACTGTGTATCGAGTGTTTCATAACAACGACTTTCAGGGACCGGGTGGCTGATACGCTGCGATTCGCTCAGCAGAGTTGCGTCCCTTGGGCATGCCAGAAGCCTATGATTGTAGGTTCGAATCCCGGTTCGTCCTGATTATGTTTCAAGGTTTGCCAGCACCATACCCGTACTCGTGGGTTTCACTAACGTGGTAAACGTCTAAGACCTGCATCACTTCGGGCTTTCCTCCCACATCAAGCTGAGACGCCGTGATATAACTGGAATACTGTTAAAAGCGTTGTTAAACCCAACTCACTCACTCACTCACTCACTCACTCACTCACTCACTCACTCACTTACTCACGCACGCAAGCAAGCGCGCACGCACGCACGCACGCACGCACGCAGGCACTGACTGACTGACTGACTGACTGACTGACTCACTGACTGACTCACTCCCACATTCACTCCCACACTCACTCCCACATTCACTCCCACACTCACTCCCACACTCACTCCCACACTCACTCACTCACTCACTCACTCACTCACTCACTCACTCACTCACTCACTCACTATTTACGACTCACAGTCTCGCTTGCTGCAGTGTGGGCAGCATGCTGTACCGCTGGGCGGTCACCTGACTCAGGCCGTAGGTATAGGACCAGGTGATCGCCGTTCCGATGACCAGTGACCAGAAGGACTGACGCACAGTTGGGTCGGGGTCAAAGCTAAAACATGAACGTCATTAATATTTTTAAAATTATCCAGGAATGATGTTTCAATGGAAATACCTACAGAGAAAGAGAGAGAGTTTCTACCATATATACATCCAAATATATATATTAGACCACCTATATTTGAAACTACATTGTCCGCTTTGATAGAGGCGAACTTGTCGGAAGTTTCAGCTACCAGAGTATGTATAAAAGCTCAAATTTGCAGTTGGTTTTGTAGGCCTTGTTTTACCCCATAAAAGCCGAGCGCCAGACAGGGTGACAACGAATACCATAAGGTCTTTGCGTTGGGTCGTACCGTTATTGACGTCATTAGGTAGAGGGTTTCAGCCACAAGGGTAAGGCTAAAAGTGTTCGTCAGAAATAATAGATGGTTGGAACAATAGAGTGTCGTCATAAGAATAATTTATATTGGTTTAAATAATGTTGAAGCACCTAAACTGAAATAGGGGTCTTGTATATTAACAGATATCGAAAAAAAATAATTCTAAATACCATTCTGTGCCGTCGATTATACGAAACGCACTTTGTTTGTAATGCTTTCAATTTCCATGTGTGATATCATACTAGTATCATTTGTATGAATCTAACTGTAAGTGCGTAAAGATTGTTGAAATCTTTCACAAAGTCAAATGTTATTTATCTTCACAAGCAGCGCTTCATGTCCTAATATCCATATGTTTTGATGCTGAAATGTTGTATAGCGCTTGTAAAAGACACAAATTATCCAGAAAAAACATGTTAAACATCAGGAAACCTGACACACCGTTACGATGTCGATGTGCAATCCGTAGTCTGTAGTTTTGTTGACTTAACATCTGTTGGTATTGCACTGCACTCTAATCTAATCAATCTCACCCGACTGCAGTAAGACATTCTACACATCAATGATCACATCTAAATTAATTACCCTTCGTTGATTAAATAGTAACCCCAAAGAAGAGGAAACGCAAAATGAGACCAACTGATTGATAAATACCAGACACCATCGTCCGAACAGACACTATAGGAAGTAGCATCTGGTATTTCGCAAACAATAATTCATTTATTGATACCAAAGAATGAATCATATCAGTAAATATTTATTGATATTGCGAATCATTATATACTAATAAATGCATATATTATATCAACTTATGTATTTTATCATAAAACAAATCGAATTTGTGATATTTTAAATATCAAAAGTAGCTTTCGTTATCACAAATTGTGAGAATTAAATTCGCTGGAGTGTTTTGTCAATGGGTTCCAGCATATCGGTAGATATATGTTTAATTGCACATCTCCTTCTCTACTGGGTGAATGTTTGTTACTCAACGTTTAGTGATTTTCCAAGGGATCCATTTCGATGAAATGACGCAATGTCGGCCACACAAATGGTTCCTGGTGGTATGGCAACAACAAAGTCTGTCCCTGTGTCCTTAGGCCTGGTTTTGCATAGTTCGCGTGGACAGGTATCGTAACATTTACATGTATAGCCATATTCAGATGATGTCTCTACATGTCCCTCGGTTGGGCATGAGGAGACGTCCTCCGGATGTGATCAGTGTCTGGGGTGGCCCCACCAGATATTGCCTTACACTGTTGATCACTTGACTATGACATGGGTACAGCGTTACTGAGACATCTACGTGTTGATCTGTCCGTCTTATTCCTGACAGTTACCAGTCTTATACCGCCCCAATTACAGCCTTTGAAGTCGCTGTCGAATATGCTTCATTGTGTTTCCGAAAATCCTCCCAAGAAAGAAACATTCCAGTAAAATGCTGGATGTTATAAATAACAAAATATTGAAGCGACACTATCCCCCCGAAATCTCTTGTGAGTCACAAGAGTGAAGTACTTACTCAAAGAACTGAATCCTCCCCCATTCTTCGTTCACTCTCCACACCTCACCCAATCCTCCCACGACATACGCTCCCTGCAATATAAGCGTTCACAATCCATCAAACATTATTTCACTTTGTGTGAACTTTAGACAAAAGAGAGAGAGCGGAAGGTCCGGGGTCCGATCCCCGGCCGCGTCATACCAAAAGACGTGAAAAGATGGTACTTGTTGTTACCCTACATGGCGCTCAGCATTAAGGTGCTAAAAGAAGGACTGGTCGGCTACTGTGTCAGTATACTGTGAGTGGGGTATTCATGTTAAACTAACACAATCGGCATTAGTCCGGACTTATACAAGCAGCCACACACACACACGCACGCACGCACGCACGCACGCGCACGCACGCACGCACGCACGCACGCACGCACGCACGCACACACACACACACACACACACACACACGCACAAACAAACCCAGACACCACACAGGCACGTGCACACACACAAATACATACACTATATAATTACCATAAACTTGATCGCGGCTATAAACGTCTATATTTATCTTATATATATGTTTGTTTAAGGAAGGAACATCGACACATTATGCACTCTTTCTAGATGTTAATAAAATGTACAAACTTTTAAAATAGTTACCAGTATCTAAATTCTGATGACTCCCTAAACACAATCCGACCTCGGCATTATTGGACAAGTCCATTGTATGAACAGGAGGGTTAAGTTTGGTATTTCCCGGCTATTCTTACAAGTTTCACGTCGAATATCTCAACCTTTTTTCCCCAAACCGATTATCATGTCTCTCCCACTTTTGGGTGCGATCGTTCGGCCCTCGCGTTTATCTGCGTTGTCCAGTTAGATCTATCTGGAACAACTTGCTAGCCTCGGAGTTAAACGTTTATCGATTATAGTTGATACATTTGATATCAAAAGACACCCATCAATTGTCTATTTACTCTATGTTTAATTAACACATCCGTTGAAATCAAATATTAACATACTTACTCTGACGATTATAGCTAGTATCCCGGCAAGCATCACAACGGACTGAAAAACGTCTGCCCACACAACTGCTTTCATTCCTCCCTGAAACAATGAACTAATTAGTATTAATATTAATCACTGAGGTATGTGGTCGGTTACTCTTTCCCTGCCCCTTCAGGAGTGTTGCCCATTTCTTTCTGTAGTCAACACTTACTTTGCCTTTGCATGTGTTTGTGACGAGTGCCACCCGTCGGCCAATATAACTAAACTTTTCGACAACACATTTTATCACCACTAACTGATATTGATTCAAAAACACATGGTTATGATGTGGTCGGCTTCGTACAAAAGATCCTTCTTTAAGCAGAAATGCCTCATGCTTATGGAATTGCTTTTGTGGCTTTTATCGTATAAGTCTTATTTTGCCTTGATGATCAAAAGCACTTTATCAGCACAATACCAAACAGTATGTATTACACATAGCGTGTTGATTGTTTCTATGTCTGTTGTTTAAAGACACACTCAACACTATTCCAACTATGTGATGTGATGTTTGTTGTTTGACGCCGCACTCAGCAATGTTCAAGCTTTATGGCGGCGGTCTGTAAATAATCGAATCTGGACCAGACAATCCAGTGACTGACATCATGAGCATCGATCCATGCAATTGGAACACGATGACATGCATCAACCAAGTCAGCGAGCCTGACCTCCCGATCCCGTTAGTCGCCTCTTACAGCAAGCATGGCTTGCTGAAGACCTGCACTACCCCGGATCTTCACGGGTCTCGCTACATGACGGCGGTCTGGACCAGACAATCCAGTGACTGATACCAAGAGCATCTATCTACGCAAATTCGATATCATGACATTCATCAACCAAGTCAGCGAGCCTGGCTACCTGATCCCGTTAGTCGCCTCTTACAAGCATGGGTGGAAGTAGAGTAAAATTATTGATATACAAGACCAGATCATTCAAAGTACATTTATTCCTACCAGAGTTTTACACAGTATTTTTGTTTTGGGGATTTCTAGTTGATGGCCAAATTGCGTATCATCACCATCGACTGAAGAGATAGTGTAAATCCTGCTTGGGAACCGTGCAGGCAGCAGAAATATCGTAAGTCCCCGCGGTCCCTAGTATGGTGGCCTAACTTTGGTTGCTGGCGATCCGTAGTCTTGTTATGTACAGCGATATCTTTTTATGGTAACCTACTAGTTTTAAATATAAATCTGTGATATATCTACTAGTTATCTTACTGTCTTTTGTTGACATGTGTTTATATAGTCTAATTGTGTTTATTTTGTGTAATATCTTAAAGTCACGATGTGGTCGAAATACTGCGGATGTGCCTTTAAATCCTGGACAGAGCCTTCAACAATCACAGTTCAATAAAACCATCACATCAATTTTGCACAGACCGCCTCCGTGGTCTTGTGGTAGAGCGTCCGCCCGGGGAGCGGAAGGTCCGGGGTTCGATCCCTGGCCGCGTCTTCCCAAAAGACGTCAAAAGATGGTACTTGTTGTTACCCTGTCTGGTATTAAAGGGTCAAACCAAGATTGGACTGGTCGGCTCGGAGTCATTATACTGTGTCTGAGTGGGGTATTCATGTTAAACTGCGGCATGGTATCTCAGTGTGCTAGCTCTATATATCGAAATTAGTCCACACCAGTGCGAGCGGCCACACACACGTGCATGCACAATAAGTGGAATAATTGTGGACGCGACGTTTAACCCCATTTTAGTTAACCTCAGTTTTGCACGAAGCAAGTGGGAGGTGTTTACAGTATACCTACCAGACAGGTGTAGAAAGTGGGAGGTGTTGACAGTATACCTACCAGACAGGTGTAGAAAGTGGGAGGTGTTGACAGTATACCTACCAGACAGGTGTAGAAAGTGGGAGGTGTTGACAGTATACCTACCAGACAGGTGTAGAAAGTGGGAGGTGTTGACAGTATACCTACCAGACAGGTGTAGAAAGTGGGAGGTGTTGACAGTATACCTACCAGACAGGTGTAGAAAGTGGGAGGTGTTGACAGTATACCTACCAGACAGGTGTAGAAAGTGGGAGGTGTTGACAGTATACCTACCAGACAGGTGTAGAAAGTGGGAGGTGTTGACAGTATACCTACCAGACAGGTGTAGAAAGTGGGAGGTGTTGACAGTATACCTACCAGACAGGTGTAGAAAGTGGGAGGTGTTGACAGTATACCTACCAGACAGGTGTAGAAAGTGGGAGGTGTTGACAGTATACCTACCAGACAGGTGTAGAAAGTGGGAGGTGTTGACAGTATACCTACCAGACAGGTGTAGAAAGTGGGAGGTGTTGACAGTATACCTACCAGACAGGTGTAGAAAGTGGGAGGTGTTGACAGTATACCTACCAGACAGGTGTAGAACGTGGACACCAGGCCGACTGTGATTATCGTGGCCCATGTTGGAAAGCCAGTGACTAATGGAAACATAATGAACACATCAATATCATGCACAATTATTATAAATGTTAACAGCTGTTAGAATATATATTGTAAAACGATATTAATTTTTACATCACGAGGATGTTATCTTGCTTATTACAAACTATTTATTATGTAGCTACGTTGCTTATAACTGCATATGATAGTGATTTATTGACGAATCATACTGAAACACATACCTGCTTCTAACGCTGTCGACGGAGCCAATGACACCACGCCCATATACGTCACCTGCAATACACAGGCATGCATCTGTCATTCAGAACACAGTGTATGCATTCATCTGTCACTCAGAACACAGCGTATGCATTCATCTGTCACTCAGAACACAGTGTATTAATTCATCTGTCACTCAGAACACAGTGTATGCTTTCATCTGTCACTCAGAACACTGTGTATGCATTCATCTGTCACTCAGAACACTGTGTATGCATTCGTCTGTCACTCAGAACACAGTGTATTAATTCATCTGTCACTCAGAACACTGTGTATGCTTTCATCTGTCACTCAGAACACTGTGTATGCATTCATCTGTCACTCAGAACACTGTGTATGCATTCGTCTGTCACTCAGAACACAGTGTATGCATTCATCTGTCAAATAGAACACAGTGTATGCATTCATCTGTCACACAGAAGACTGTGTATGCATTCATCTGTCACACAGTACACAGTGTATGCATCTATCAGTCACACAGAACACTGTGTATGCATTCATCAGTCACACAGAACACAGTGTTTGCATTCATCTGCCACACAGAACACAGTGTATGCATTCATATGTCAATCAGAACAAAGTGTATGCGTTCATCTGTCAATGAGAACACAGTGTATGCATTCATCTGTCACTCAGAACACAGTGTATGCATTCATCTGTCAAATAGAACACTGTATGCATTCATCTGTCACTCAGAACACAGTGTATGCATTCATCTGTCACACAGAAGACTGGGTATGCATTCATCTGTCACACAGAACACAGTGTATGCATTCATCTTCACTCAGAACACAGTGTATGCATTCATCTGTCACACAGAACACAGTGTATGCATCTATCAGTCACTCAGAACACAGTGTATGCATTCATCTGTCACTCAGAACACTGGGTATGCATTCATCTGTCACTCAGAACACAGTTCATGCATTCATCTGTCACTCAGAGCACAGTGTATGCATTCATCTGTCACTCAGAACACTGTACATGCATTCATCTGTCACTCAGAGCACAGTGTATGCATTCATCTGTCACTCAGAATACAGTGTATGCATTCATCTGTCACTCAGAACACTGTGTATGCATTCATCTGTCACTCAAAACAGAGTGCATGCATTCATTTTTCACTCAGAACACAGTGAGGAGAGGCCATGATATAACTGAAATACTCCCACATCAATCTGACACCCCGTGATATAACTGAAATACTCCCACATCAATCTGACACCCGGTGATATAACTGAAATACTCCCACATCAAGCTGACACCCGGTGATATAACTGAAATACTCCCGCATCAAAATGACACGCCGTGATATAACTGAAATACTCCCACATCAAGCTGACACCCGGTGATATAAGTGAAATACTCCCACATCAAGCTGACTCCCGTTGATATAACTGAAATACTCAAACATCAAGCTGACACCCGGTGATATAACTGAAATACTCCCACATCAAGCTGACACGCCGTGATATAAGTGAAATACTCCCACATCAAACTGACACCCGGTGATATAACTGAAATCCTCACACATCAAACTGACACCCGGTGATATAAGTGAAATACTCCCACATCAAGCTGACACGCCGTGATATAACTGAAATACTCCCATATCAAGCTGACACCCCGTGATATAAGTGAAATACTCCCACATCAAGCTGACAGGCTGTGATATAAGTGAAATACTCCCACATCAAGCTGACACCCGGTGATATAACTGAAATCCTTACACATCAAACTGACACCCGGTGATATAACTGAAATCCTTACACATCAAGCTGACACCCCGTGATATAACTGAAATACTCCCACATCAAGCTGACACCCCGTGATATAAGTGAAATACTCCCACATCAAGCTGACACCCCGTGACATAAGTGAAATACTCCCACATCAAACTGACACGCCGTGATATAACTGAAATACTCCCACATCAAACTGGCACGCCGTGATATATATGAAATACTCCCACATCAAGCTGACACCCCGTAATATAACTGAAATACTCCCACATCAAACTGACACCCCGTGATGTAAGTGAAATACTCCCACATGAAGCTGACACCCGGTGATATAACTGAATTCCTCACATATCAGACTGACACGCCTTGATATAACTGAAATCCTGCCACATCAAGCTGACACCCCGTGATATAACGGGTATACTCCCGCATCAAAATGACACGCCGTGATATAACTGAAATACTCCCACATCAAGCTGACACCCGGTGATATAAGTGAAATACTCCCACATCAAGCTGACACCCGTTGATATAACTGAAATACTCACACATCAAGCTGACACCCGGTGATATAACTGAAATACTCCCACATCAAGCTGACACGCCGTGATATAAGTGAAATACTCCCACATCAAACTGACACCCGGTGATATAACTGAAATCCTCACACATCAAACTGACACCCGGTGATATAAGTGAAATACTCCCACATCAAGCTGACACGCCGTGATATAACTGAAATACTCCCATATCAAGCTGACACCCCGTGATATAAGTGAAATACTCCCACATCAAGCTGACAGGCTGTGATATAAGTGAAATACTCCCACATCAAGCTGACACCCGGTGATATAACTGAAATCCTTACACATCAAACTGACACCCGGTGATATAACTGAAATCCTTACACATCAAGCTGACACCCCGTGATATAACTGAAATACTCCCACATCAAGCTGACACCCCGTGATATAAGTGAAATACTCCCACATCAAGCTGACACCCCGTGACATAAGTGAAATACTCCCACATCAAACTGACACGCCGTGATATAACTGAAATACTCCCACATCAAACTGGCACGCCGTGATATATATGAAATACTCCCACATCAAGCTGACACCCCGTAATATAACTGAAATACTCCCACATCAAACTGACACCCCGTGATGTAAGTGAAATACTCCCACATGAAGCTGACACCCGGTGATATAACTGAATTCCTCACATATCAGACTGACACGCCTTGATATAACTGAAATCCTGCCACATCAAGCTGACACCCCGTGATATAACGGGTATACTCCCACATCATTATGAATGTAGTTGTCTTGTCTGTGTTTCTAGGGTCCTATACGTACTTGTTTGACTATCATCATGCCTGTTGTTCGCGTCAGTCTGGCAGCCCGTGTCTGTGTTTCCAGGGTCCTATACGTACTTGTTTGACTATCATCATGCCTGTTCCCGTCAGTCTGGCAGCCCGTGTCTGTGTTTCCAGGGTCCTATACGTACTTGTTTGACTATCATCATGCCTGTTCGCGTCAGTCTGGCAGCCCGTGTCTGTGTTTCCAGGGTCCTATACGTACTTGTTTGACTATCATCATGCCTGTTCGCGTCAGTCTGGCAGCCCGTGTCTGTGTTTCTAGGGTCCTATACGTACTTGTTTGACTATCATCATGCCTGTTCCCGTCAGTCTGGCAGCCCGTGTCTGTGTTTCTAGGGTCCTATACGTACTTGTTTGACTATCATCATGCCTGTTCGCGTCAGTCTGGCAGCCCGTGTCTGTGTTTCTAGGGTCCTATACGTACTTGTTTGACTATCATCATGCCTGTTCCCGTCAGTCTGGCAGCCCGTGTCTGTGTTTCTAGGGTCCTATACGTACTTGTTTGACTATCATCATGCCTGTTCCCGTCAGTCTGGCAAGCCGTGTCTGTGTTTCTAGGGTCCTATACGTACATGTTTGACTATCATCATGCCTGTTCCCGTCAGTCTGGCAGCCCGTGTCTGTGTGTCTAGGGTCCTATACGTACTTGTTTGACTATCATCATGCCTGTTCGCGTCAGTCTGGCAGCCCGTGTCTGTGTTTCCAGGGTCCTATACGTACTTGTTTGACTATCATCATGCCTGTTCCCGTCAGTCTGGCAGCCCGTGTCTGTGTTTCCAGGGTCCTATACGTACTTGTTTGACTATCATCATGCCTGTTCGCGTCAGTCTGGCAGCCCGTGTCTGTGTGACCAGGGTCCTATACGTACTTGTTTGACTATCATCATGCCTGTTCGCGTCAGTCTGGCAGCCCGGGTCTGTGTTTCTAGGGTCCTATACGTACTTGTTTGACTATCATCATGCCTGTTCCCGTCAGTCTGGCAGCCCGTGTCTGTGTTTCTAGGGTCCTATACGTACTTGTTTGACTATCATCATGCCTGTTGTTCGCGTCAGTCTGGCAGCCCGTGTCTGTGTTTCCAGGGTCCTATACGTACTTGTTTGACTATCATCATGCCTGTTGTTCCCGTCAGTCTGGCAGCCCGTGTCTGTGTTTCCAGGGTCCTATACGTACTTGTTTGACTATCATCATGCCTGTTCGCGTCAGTCTGGCAGCCCGTGTCTGTGTTTCTAGGGTCCTATACGTACTTGTTTGACTATCATCATGCCTGTTCGCGTCAGTCTGGCAGCCCGTGTCTGTGTTTCTAGGGTCCTATACGTACTTGTTTGACTATCATCATGCCTGTTCGCGTCAGTCTGGCAGCCCGTGTCTGTGTTTCTAGGGTCCTATACGTACTTGTTTGACTATCATCATGCCTGTTGTTCCCGTCAGTCTGGCAAGCCGTGTCTGTGTTTCTAGGGTCCTATACGTACTTGTTTGACTATCATCATGCCTGTTCCCGTCAGTCTGGCAGCCCGTGTCTGTGTTTCTAGGGTCCTATACGTACATGTTTGACTATCATCATGCCTGTTCCCGTCAGTCTGGCAGGCCGTGTCTGTGTTTCTAGGGTCCTATACGTACTTGTTTGACTATCATCATGCCTGTTCCCGTCAGTCTGGCAGCCCGTGTCTGTGTTTCTAGGGTCCTATACGTACATGTTTGACTATCATCATGCCTGTTCCCGTCAGTCTGGCAGGCCGTGTCTGTGTTTCTAGGGTCCTATACGTACTTGTTTGACTATCATCATGCCTGTTCCCGTCAGTCTGGCAGCCCGTGTCTGTGTTTCTAGGGTCCTATACGTACATGTTTGACTATCATCATGCCTGTTCGCGTCAGTCTGGCAGCCCGTGTCTGTGTTTCTAGGGTCCTATACGTACTTGTTTGACTATCATCATGCCTGTTCCCGTCAGTCTGGCAGCCCGTGTCTGTGTTTCTAGGGTCCTATACGTACTTGTTTGACTATCATCATGCCTGTTCCCGTCAGTCTGGCAAGCCGTGTCTGTGTTTCTAGGGTCCTATACGTACATGTTTGACTATCATCATGCCTGTTCCCGTCAGTCTGGCAGCCCGTGTCTGTGTGTCTAGGGTCCTATACGTACTTGTTTGACTATCATCATGCCTGTTCGCGTCAGTCTGGCAGCCCGTGTCTGTGTTTCCAGGGTCCTATACGTACTTGTTTGACTATCATCATGCCTGTTCCCGTCAGTCTGGCAGCCCGTGTCTGTGTTTCCAGGGTCCTATACGTACTTGTTTGACTATCATCATGCCTGTTCGCGTCAGTCTGGCAGCCCGTGTCTGTGTTTCCAGGGTCCTATACGTACTTGTTTGACTATCATCATGCCTGTTCGCGTCAGTCTGGCAGCCCGGGTCTGTGTTTCTAGGGTCCTATACGTACTTGTTTGACTATCATCATGCCTGTTCCCGTCAGTCTGGCAGCCCGTGTCTGTGTTTCTAGGGTCCTATACGTACTTGTTTGACTATCATCATGCCTGTTGTTCGCGTCAGTCTGGCAGCCCGTGTCTGTGTTTCCAGGGTCCTATACGTACTTGTTTGACTATCATCATGCCTGTTGTTCCCGTCAGTCTGGCAGCCCGTGTCTGTGTTTCCAGGGTCCTATACGTACTTGTTTGACTATCATCATGCCTGTTCGCGTCAGTCTGGCAGCCCGTGTCTGTGTTTCTAGGGTCCTATACGTACTTGTTTGACTATCATCATGCCTGTTCGCGTCAGTCTGGCAGCCCGTGTCTGTGTTTCTAGGGTCCTATACGTACTTGTTTGACTATCATCATGCCTGTTCGCGTCAGTCTGGCAGCCCGTGTCTGTGTTTCTAGGGTCCTATACGTACTTGTTTGACTATCATCATGCCTGTTGTTCCCGTCAGTCTGGCAAGCCGTGTCTGTGTTTCTAGGGTCCTATACGTACTTGTTTGACTATCATCATGCCTGTTCCCGTCAGTCTGGCAGCCCGTGTCTGTGTTTCTAGGGTCCTATACGTACATGTTTGACTATCATCATGCCTGTTCCCGTCAGTCTGGCAGCCCGTGTCTGTGTTTCTAGGGTCCTATACGTACATGTTTGACTATCATCATGCCTGTTCCCGTCAGTCTGGCAGGCCGTGTCTGTGTTTCTAGGGTCCTATACGTACTTGTTTGACTATCATCATGCCTGTTCCCGTCAGTCTGGCAGCCCGTGTCTGTGTTTCTAGGGTCCTATACGTACATGTTTGACTATCATCATGCCTGTTCGCGTCAGTCTGGCAGCCCGTGTCTGTGTTTCTAGGGTCCTATACGTACTTGTTTGACTATCATCATGCCTGTTCGCGTCAGTCTGGCAGCCCGTGTCTGTGTTTCCAGGGTCCTATACGTACTTGTTTGACTATCATCATGCCTGTTCCCGTCAGTCTGGCAGCCCGTGTCTGTGTTTCTAGGGTCCTATACGTACTTGTTTGACTATCATCATGCCTGTTCGCGTCAGTCTGGCAGCCCGTGTCTGTGTTTCTAGGGTCCTATACGTACTTGTTTGATTATCATCATGCCTGTTCGCGTCAGTCTGGCAGCCCGGGTCTGTGTTTCTAGGGTCCTGTACGTACTTGTTTGACTATCATCATGCCTGTTCCCGTCAGTCTGGCAGCCCGTGTCTGTGTTTCTAGGGTCCTATACGTACTTGTTTGACTATCATCATGCCTGTTGTTCGCGTCAGTCTGGCAGCCCGTGTCTGTGTTTCCAGGGTCCTATACGTACTTGTTTGACTATCATCATGCCTGTTGTTCCCGTCAGTCTGGCAGCCCGTGTCTGTGTTTCCAGGGTCCTATACGTACTTGTTTGACTATCATCATGCCTGTTCGCGTCAGTCTGGCAGCCCGTGTCTGTGTTTCTAGGGTCCTATACGTACTTGTTTGACTATCATCATGCCTGTTCGCGTCAGTCTGGCAGCCCGTGTCTGTGTTTCTAGGGTCCTATACGTACTTGTTTGACTATCATCATGCCTGTTCCCGTCAGTCTGGCAAGCCGTGTCTGTGTTTCTAGGGTCCTATACGTACTTGTTTGACTATCATCATGCCTGTTCGCGTCAGTCTGGCAGCCCGTGTCTGTGTTTCCAGGGTCCTATACGTACTTGTTTGACTATCATCATGCCTGTTCGCGTCAGTCTGGCAGCCCGTGTCTGTGTTTCTAGGGTCCTATACGTACTTGTTTGACTATCATCATGCCTGTTGTTCCCGTCAGTCTGGCAAGCCGTGTCTGTGTTTCTAGGGTCCTATACGTACTTGTTTGACTATCATCATGCCTGTTCCCGTCAGTCTGGCAGCCCGTGTCTGTGTTTCTAGGGTCCTATACGTACATGTTTGACTATCATCATGCCTGTTCCCGTCAGTCTGGCAGGCCGTGTCTGTGTTTCTAGGGTCCTATACGTACTTGTTTGACTATCATCATGCCTGTTCCCGTCAGTCTGGCAGCCCGTGTCTGTGTTTCTAGGGTCCTATACGTACATGTTTGACTATCATCATGCCTGTTCCCGTCAGTCTGGCAGGCCGTGTCTGTGTTTCTAGGGTCCTATACGTACTTGTTTGACTATCATCATGCCTGTTCCCGTCAGTCTGGCAGCCCGTGTCTGTGTTTCTAGGGTCCTATACGTACATGTTTGACTATCATCATGCCTGTTCCCGTCAGTCTGGCAGGCCGTGTCTGTGTTTCTAGGGTCCTATACGTACTTGTTTGACTATCATCATGCCTGTTCCCGTCAGTCTGGCAGCCCGTGTCTGTGTTTCTAGGGTCCTATACGTACTTGTTTGACTATCATCATGCCTGTTGTTCCCGTCAGCCTGGCAGCCCGTGTCTGTGTTTCCAGGGTCCTATACGTACTTGTTTGACTATCATCATGCCTGTTCGCGTCAGTCTGGCAGGCCGTGTCTGTGTTTCTAGGGTCCTATACGTACTTGTTTGACTATCATCATGCCTGTTCCCGTCAGTCTGGCAGGCCGTGTCTGTGTTTCCAGGGTCCTATACGTACTTGTTTGACTATCATCATGCCTGTTGTTCGCGTCAGTCTGGCAGCCCGTGTCTGTGTTTCTAGGGTCCTATACGTACTTGTTTGACTATCATCATGCCTGTTCGCGTCAGTCTGGCAGCCCGTGTCTGTGTTTCTAGGGTCCTATACGTACTTGTTTGACTATCATCATGCCTGTTCGCGTCAGTCTGGCAGCCCGTGTCTGTGTTTCTAGGGTCCTATACGTACTTGTTTGACTATCATCATGCCTGTTCGCGTCAGTCTGGCAGCCCGTGTCTGTGTTTCCAGGGTCCTATACGTACTTGTTTGACTATCATCATGCCTGTTCCCGTCAGTCTGGCAGCCCGTGTCTGTGTTTCTAGGGTCCTATACGTACTTGTTTGACTATCATCATGCCTGTTCCCGTCAGTCTGGCAGCCCGTGTCTGTGTTTCTAGGGTCCTATACGTACTTGTTTGACTATCATCATGCCTGTTCCCGTCAGTCTGGCAGCCCGGGAGTTGAAGCGTTTCTCCAGATACTAAAATAAATAAAACCTGCGATATTAAATATTGACGATTGTTTTATGTATGTCTATGCACTCAGAAATACGCCAACTGTATGACACTTAGTTTGCTGTACATGTTGGAGTCAATGAACAACATCTTTTGGGGAGGGGGTGGGGTATGTTAACACGTACTTGTATCCTGGTCTGCCCCCTAGATATCCCCCCTATTACATTCCCATATCATGGTTCTTCCTCGACAGCCAAGACGTCATCTTCCAAGTGTAGACTATGGGCGAGTGTCCTAAGAAACTTACACATTGTGATGTTTAAGGTTGTCATTAATGATGTTGATGTCGCCATTTTGCTAAAGGGTCAATTTGACACCCAAGGCCTTGTGGCTTAATGTGCGAGGAAAGCCCGAAGTGATGCAGGTCTCAGACGTTTATCATTTCGGTGAAACTCACGAGCACGGATATGGTGCTGACAAACATAGAAGCTTAATTGGGGCGAACCGGGATTCGAACACACAATCATAGGTTTCTGGCGTGCCCAAAGGACGCAACTCTGCACAGCGAATCGCGGCATCTTAGACGACTGGGCCACCCGTGCCCCGGAATAAAATGAAGATCCTCAATCAACATAATATCTCCCGAATAAATACTGTCCCTGTGTCACACAGACCAGTGACAGATGGTGCCAGACATTGAGGGATTCATGTGATATACACAGGTGTTATACCCCTCGCATGCTGCATCATCGTATACATGAATACAATCACAGGCCGGAATAGCTTATACATAAAACATTACGTAAGTTACAAATATGCAATACACTGTACATAACATGATTTACAAAACACATCTGTCGCAACTAGACAGTCGGCCAACTTAGTGTGACATCTATTTACTTAGATATATACGCATGCACACACTGAAGCTAAGACATGTTTATGGGACCCGTGGAGATCCGGGATATAACAGGTCTTCAGCAACCCATGCTTGTCGTAAAAGGCGACTATGCTTGTTGTAAGAGGCGACTAACGGGATCGGGAGGTCAGGCTAGCTGACTTGGTTGATGCATATCTTCGTGACGCAATCGATAGTCAAGCTGTCAATCAGTTGATAATCTGATCCAGACTTGATTATTTACAGACCACCGTCATATAGCTAGAATATTGCGGAGTGCGACGTTAAACAAACAAGCAAACAAACAAATTTATGTATTTTTGTTTAACCCCGTCAGCAACAATAGTTCAGGTATATGACGGATGTCTGGACCAGATCACATGATCCAGTCATTGACATTATGACTTCGATCTAAGCCAAAGGGATACGAAGACATGCACCAACCACCCCATCCCGTTAGTCGCCTCTAACGGCACCCATGGGTTGCTGAAGACTAATACTAACCCGGATCATCACGGGTAGTCTGTGGATGAAGAAAAGAAACATGATTGGGAGTTAAAATGATAAAAAATAAAAGAAGGGGTTTTTTTTACGCTAAGAAAATAACACCGACAAGATGTTGAACGTGTTTTAACAATTGGAAAACAATTTGTGAATTGCATGGTAAGAAAGCTTCAGGCATGAATCGGGGTAGAAGGAGGTCACACCAGCTAATGACATGTTTAGACATATTTAGACATGTTTAGACATGTTTAGACATGTTTAGACATATTTAGACATGATTAGACATATTTAGATTCCTCTGCCATTTCCATGGACTCCGATAGTTTTCGCATTTCCCTTGTGATCTTGTATGTGTTTTTTGGACGAAATGTTTCTATTTTGTACCATATATTCCCGTGTTTCTTTCAGCTGAACAATTGACTTGCCTTTGCATGTGTTTTTGTCGGGTGTCACCATTTGGGAAGGATACGCTCACCTCTTCCCTATTACCTTTTGGACAGCGATTCAAATACACATGCTCAGAATGGAATATGTGCTCTTTTAGTAGATATTTCTTGTGATTATTGAAATGTCTGTTGCCCCTCTCATCTACATGAAACAAGTCGATATGTTTGATGGTAGCCAAAATGTAAAACAGACAAAAAGGAAACTGTTTGGACAAGGACATTAAAACTGCCCTAAGACCTGTGTGCAACACTAAGTCAAATTCAGCGTTTTAAAAACAAAGATTCATTAAAAATGTTCAGTAAATTTGGACAGAAGATATCTTTCTTTCGAAACTATCTCAATGCAATATTTCTTCATGTGTTACAAAAATGGCAAAACGTGTCTTGTTTTAATAACTAATCCTGAATTCAAACCGAACTTTACATCTCGAACACAACTTACACACAGCTCAAACACAACCATATTCAGACAGTAATACATAATCGGCGCCAAATTTACTTCACAAAGTAAGAACACGAGTTTAATCTGTGGCGATGAAAGATATAAAACGACTGAAACCTGTCAAAAGCATGCATAATTACTATCAACTTTTGATTTGACCCTAAAAGATGAAAACGTGTACATGTCTATTTCCCTTTGTGCTAGATTCTAAAGAGAGATATATTGCTTGGTCCAGCTGATGTACCACCAAGTCCCTGTCTCACAGATCAATCATGATCCTTAATACAATCAAGGAAGGACTTTCTGTATATTTGCAGAAAGTATTTGAGGCAGTTGGAATTAAAACCATATGAATTCTCAAAAACCAAAGGAATTGCTTGAATTTGTACAATCTCGGTAAAGAAACAAGTTCAAATTTGTCCAAACATTTTATTTTTCAACTGTGGACACGACTTTGAAAGACACACAGACAGCTTCGTTTCTTGATCCATTGAGCATTAATCTCTGACGCGGTGACATAGATATAGCTGCAGGACAATGTGGCAAGAACGAGAGCTAATGTCATCAGCAGTTTACTGAGAAAACAGGTTGTAAAATGCGGGACTTCCTCACCCAAATAATGGTCTTATACCTAATTTCCTCACACTGATTTTTTTTCACCTGAAAAATATAACACAGACCACCGAGACCCCCTCAACTATTTCATATTTACAGTTTAGCAGAAAGATTCAGATTGACGAAAAAAGCTGTGTGACAAAAGGGATGACTTCATATTACAAGAGTCAACTTTCCCTTTGTGCTGAGCAATATTCCAGCAGCTTGAGTCTACAGTCAACATTTGTTTAGGTTAAACCAAGCATGCTCTTTTTATGAAGATTTTATTGGGCGTCATACGACTCTTGCTCAAAGTTGTTTGGACAGGATTACAACAATGAAGGCATCAGTTAAACTTCAGAGACGTTTATACATTTCAAAATTGAAAACTGTGTGTCCTCCGCATTTCCAAATGTTAAAAGTGACTTGTATCTGAATCAGCACAGTGGTCAATTTTGTTATGCTACTCCCTTGAAGCAGCAGGGATATCGTTAACATCAATCATGTCCAGTCAGTAGACATTGAGATCTACAATGTCCAGTGACTAGACATAAGATGTATATTAACTATAGTCATTGCGTTACAATGTCCAGTGACTAGACATAAGATCTATATTAACTAGAGTCATTGCGTTACAATGTCCAGTGACTAGACATAAAACCTATATTAACTAGAGTCATTGCGTTACAATGTCCAGTGACTAGACATAACATCTATATTAACTAGAGTCATTGCGTTACAATGTCCAGTGACTAGACATAACATCTATATTAACGATAGTCATTGCGTTACAATGTCCAGTGACTAGACATAAGATCTATATTAACTAGAGTCATTGCGTTACAATGTCCAGTGACTAGACATAACATCTATATTAACTAGAGTCATTGCGTTACAATGTCCAGTGACTAGACATAAAACCTATATTAACTAGAGTCATTGCGTTACAATGTCCAGTGACTAGACATAACATCTATATTAACTAGAGTCATTGCGTTACAATGTCCAGTGACTAGACATAACATCTATATTAACTAGAGTCATTGCGTTACAATGTCCAGTGACTAGACATAAAACCTATATTAACTAGAGTCATTGCGTTACAATGTCCAGTGACTAGACATAAAACCTATATTAACTAGAGTCATTGCGTTACAATGTCCAGTGACTAGACATAAAACCTATATTAACTAGAGTCATTGCGTTACAATGTCCAGTGACTAGACATAAGATGTATATTAACTAGAGTCATTGCGTTACAATGTCCAGTGACTAGACATAAAACCTATATTAACTAGAGTCATTGCGTTACAATGTCCAGTGACTAGACATAAGACCTATATTAACTAGAGTCATTGCGTTACAATGTCCAGTGACTAGACATAAGATCTATATTAACTAGAGTCATTGCGTTACAATGTCCAGTGACTAGACATAAGACCTATATTAACTAGAGTCATTGCGTTACAATGTCCAGTGACTAGACATAACATCTATATTAACGATAGTCATTGCGTTACAATGTCCAGTGACTAGACATAAGATCTATATTAACTAGAGTCATTGCGTTACAATGTCCAGTGACTAGACATAACATCTATATTAACTAGAGTCATTGCGTTACAATGTCCAGTGACTAGACATAAAACCTATATTAACTAGAGTCATTGCGTTACAATGTCCAGTGACTAGACATAACATCTATATTAACTAGAGTCATTGCGTTACAATGTCCAGTGACTAGACATAACATCTATATTAACTATAGTCATTGCGTTACAATGTCCAGTGACTAGACATAACATCTATATTAACAATAGTCATTGCGTTACAATGTCCAGTGACTAGACATAAGATCTATATTAACTAGAGTCATTGCGTTACAATGTCCAGTGACTAGACATAACATCTATATTAACTAGAGTCATTGCGTTACAATGTCCAGTGACTAGACATAAGATCTATATTAACTAGAGTCATTGCGTTACAATGTCCAGTGACTAGACATAAAACCTATATTAACTAGAGTCATTGCGTTACAATGTCCAGTGACTAGACATAAAACCTATATTAACTAGAGTCATTGCGTTACAATGTCCAGTGACTAGACATAAGATCTATATTAACTAGAGTCATTGCGTT